CGTAGTTCTCGATGGGGTAGCCGGCGCCGGTGTTCTTGTCCCGGTTGTAGTATAGCCCGTGGTATGCTGGGTCTGCCCCATAAGCAGTCTTCCACGGCGCTCGTCGGCTCTGATGTCCACCCTCAGACTCGCGTTTCCTTGGGTCACCTGAAGTTGACGACCTTTCAACTCCAGCAGCTTGCCCGCAAAGATCTTCTCGTTCATATTGTCCTTGGTATAGACGACTTCCAACTCCTGCTGTGCCATGAGCACCATTTCTGGCGGCGCTCCCAAAGAACGACATTCTCCATGACCTCGGCCTTTGGTTGTATAGGAAAGCCGAAGGCCACATTTCTTGCATGTGGTCCACACAGCAGTTTGGTTGCTGCGCTCCTTTCCCGGATGGTGGGTACCAAGGCACGGCCATCCCGTATGACGCGGGTCGGCTTCCGGAGCGGGAACTTTGCTTTGGGCCATCAATCCGATCTTGTAGATCAGCAAGTCTTCGAGCCAAACTCTGCAGCTGGTCTTTCAAGGTGACGTCATGCTGGTCACTTCCAACTTCATCTCCATAGTTTGACACCATCAACACCTGACCTTCAACATCACCTGAACTGACAAGTGCATTTTCGACATGTTGTGGGGAGTCAGCATGTTGGGGTCCATGTTCATGTACTGCATGTGGAACTTCATGTTCTTGGTTTTGATTGGGCTCTACAATGAAGTTGGGGCTGATTCCAACACTCATCTCGTCAGCCGACATCACTTTTTCCACGGTGGCCACGATCTCGGCCGGTTCTGCTGCAGGTGCACTGCTCGAAGAGTTCACCCAGTTGGGCTTCATCTGCATATGACGGCATCCGCGTCCTCCGCACCAGGGCACTCTGCACTGTACCGTAGAGGGAGGCACGAGGTCTTGGTGACGTGCCGCACAGCTCTGGGACACCAGAACGGCAGGTTCCCGTGGAGGTCCAGGCATCTCCAAGCATGTAGTGCTCGGGCTGTCCAGGTCGAGGTCGATGTAGTTCGGCATAGTTGCAGCTGTGGTGGCTCCGGTGTCTCCGAAGCTTACCTCCTCAGCTGCTTCACCCATGTGGTGATCTCCATCGTCATCATCTCGAACATCTCGACGTCCATCAAGGCTTCCACTGGCATTGACTGCTGCTTGGCGCACCACTCCATGAACTGAATTTCCGAAACCAGGTGGAAGAGCATCTCGACTTCGACTGGCACCACGACGCGCAACACGTCGGCCATGATGATCACCAGGGTCTTCACCATCATCTCCAGGTCCTTCGTCATCGCCTGGAGGGGGAAGGTTCTGCATCCGGTCCAGGGTAGTCGAAAGTCGCGTAGGCTCCTCTGACAAGTCGATGGCTACATGTCGTCCTCGTAGCTTGTACAGGGTGTTCGTCCACCAGGCTCCATCGACATCGCGGTGAGCAAAGTACTCACCACAGTAGGCCACAACAGCCAACCGGTTCCAGAGTTCTTTGCCGCCAAGAAGTGCAGGGGTGTTCTCCGCCTGGCCGTCAAGCACATAGAAGCTCACCATCTCCAAAGCCTTCGTCACCACGTCAATTCTTGATGACGCCTGTTGGGTATGTCCGTTCCCAAACCTAAAAACTGGTCGGTCTGAGAAACAAACATCATAGCGGGGCACATCGAAGGAATCCAAAAGTCTGGCCATGTTGTTCACGCCACAGACAGATTCTGTTGCGCCCGTGTCCACAATCACCCGGAAAGCATTCTGGGAAGTCATCTCTGCATCATGGGACTGGAGGCTCATCACATGAATCTCGTTCTCCACATTCTCGTAGAGCTCCAAGTCCAAGTAGTACGCATCCACATAGTAGGAAGGGTACTTGCCTTTCTTCCCCTTCATCTTGCCCTTGCCTTTTGCAAAGCCCTTGTTCGACGGACTTCCGGATGGACTTCCGGAAGGTGTTCCGCTCCGGACTTGGTGTCGATCCGGACATTGCTGGTACGTGTGGTTGGGGCTCTTGCAAATGAAACAAGGTCCAAAGGTCTGCTTGCCCTTGGATTTTCCTATCTTGCCTTTGCCTTTGCTGGCACCTTTCATTCCTGCTGCATCGTAGTATCCACGAGCAGCTCTGACTTTTGCCACGGCCTCTCGAGCCTTACTCAAGGTCTTGGCCGCTTCCTGGGACATAGCGAAAGCTTCTTCATACGCCTCCTTTTCCGGGATGGCACCGAGGTCTGCCATGTCGTCCTTCTTCTCGTAGTCCTCAGTCGTTGGACTTCCATCTGTCCAACTCCAGTCATCAGACCAGTCTTCAAAGTAGGCCTCGCCATCCGTAGTGTTCCAGTCATCTGTCCAGTAGGCGTTCTCATCAGCTGTCCACCATTCATCGGACCATTGCTGTCCGTCATCGTCCCAGTCATCCCATTCTTGGGACGTCCACCAAACCATTCTCTTGGGTCTGGACTGCAAGGCTTCCTCAGAGGTCTCCTCGGCAAAGAGGGTTCGAAGAGCTCGTCGAATCTCCACAAACCGGGTTGAGTTCGACGTCAGGGTCAGTATGTGCTGACGTTCCTGTTGGCTCAGCTTGGCAGCCTTCAGGAGTCTGTATCCCCTGAGCTCATCACCAAAGAAGTCCTTCTCGAGGTTCTCCACATAGGTCGCTGTAGGCGGTGAAGTCCTTGTAGTGCCTTCGGCATCTTGAGGTACTCCAAAACCAGGTGACATAGAGGGAGAAAACGGAGGATCTCGTTCTTCGGCAGAAGTTCCCACATGTGTTGAGGTCATCTTCGTGCGTTCAGCTCGTGCACGTTGTAGCGCTTGCTGCAATTCCACAAACCTTTCCTCTTCTCGGACTAACAGCTGTGGAATCATTTCCTGTGGGCTTCTTCTCAAAGAGCTCCAGCGCTCCAATCGGCTAAAACTGTCAGGGACAGGCAGCTGTTGAAGCGGTGACTGCCGTAACACCTCTAAGAGCTTGGACAGGCCATTGGGCTGGTCAAAGCCTGATGGTTCAAGGTGTCGAACCACCGACTTAGCAGCTCCAGTCAGCTTTTGCCACACACGGCTTGCAGCCATAGGTCTCTCTGATGGCTTCAGCCCTTGCTCATACCATCTGCAGTTCTGGACGAACTGTTCGAAGCTGGCTGGATCACCATGCCAGCTTGGTGGCCCTTGGTTGCTCTCTTCAGGCATGTCCTCGAGGCTAGCCAAGTAGTTCCAGGCACAAAGCTTGCCCTAACGCAGGGCTCCGCTACCATGCAATCAGCCCAGTGACTATCAACGTCCCTCACTACAGGGAAAACCGGTTGGGGTACCCACCTCACCTATGAGGCACGCTCCTCAGGGAGCACGAAGTTGTTTTGGCTTGAGCTTAAGCTATCCCGCCCTGCGGACGCAGGTGTATGTGAAAAGGTCACTCCTGAAAGGGTACCTGACAGGAAAAGAAGGGAATGCAGTTCAGTGCTTGCAATATATATATATTCTGTAATACATGTGTGCGTGCGTATCTGTACATATTTTGGCAAATATAGATATACAAATGCATGATGATATACATACAAACCCATACACACTTGCTCTCGAATCTATTGTGATGATCACGCAGGTCAAGCACAGCTCAGCCGGGCTTCAGGCTCAGCCACCAAGGTGGAATCAATCTTAGCAAAACATTTGACATGATTTCATATGATTTCAAGATATTTCAAGCATTCTCAGAAAAGTGATCTCGGTCGCTGTTCAAAGCAATGCGTCCCTCTCATTTTCGTCCGCAACACTGAACTCCTGCTGAAATCATAATCTAGAATCTAGTAAGAGCGCCATTGTTGCACCATTATTGCACCATGGTGAAGCAGGTGTAAGTGGCAAGTTTATACAAAAAGCGATTGTGCGTAGGTGAGTCCATGGATGCTGATATGTGCTACATGCCGCATATGTGTGGCGTCTTTGCAGCTGCTGGCAGCACATATGCATTGAGACATATTGATTCACATTCCGTTGTATCACTTGCAAAGTCAGGGTGCATCATATGCAGTGGACAAACTTTGGTTTTAGTCCGGGATAAACCTATGATTTTAGCCTGGGATAAAACAGATGTAATGATATACAATTATACAATATAGAAAAGATTAGGAGGATCGACTGGGCTCACAAGCTTTCCCCCCTTTTCCACTCGTATCTGCGAAGGTCTTACGACTAGGCTGACAGCGCATACTCTAACATAGGCATTGTTATTAATTAAATAATAATGGGTATGCAAGAGGCTGGGTATCACAGATATCCCTAACAGTAACACACTTGAGATGCTATGCGTCAAGGTTAGAACTTAGGCACAAACCAAACCCAATCCAAGTCAACTAGCCATCCATCACGTCTTTTCAAATCACATGAAGACACTACCCAACCAACCTATGTCTTCAAATCCTCAGCTCCATGCTACGATGCTTGTTCTCGCCACCCCTGGCCAGCTGGATGCGGTGCCATGTCGCTCCTCAAAGCCCGAAGGCAAACAACCACGAAACAGAGGAAGTCGCACGACTAAAATGTTGGGGGAGAGGTACTCTCAGCCAAGTACTGACCATATGCGTGCAAAGCCACCTTGGAGTTCAGGCGAGCGAGTGCTCCAAATGCCTATCTTGGATACTGCACAGTACGCGGAAGAAATCAAATCGTTTTGCTTCTCACAGAATGAGCTGAGTCATGCTGAGTCTATCTCGGAAAATATTAGACATCGACATCTGGATTGTAGATATTTGATGATATTTGTAGATCGGTGTCTGGGCCATCTTGACCCTGACTGCGCATGACTGCGCGACAAAAAATTGTGGAGCCATGGTCCAAGGATGTCCAAGGCCATGCTCGAAGAATGCAATGCAGGCCTTTCCCTGCCCGGTACCATCCGGTACCTACATCATCCTACATCTACTGAGTTCTACTGCATCTATCTGCCGTCTATCTGCTAAATTCTGCTAATGTACTTGGATCATAAGTTGATCCAGTTTGGAGCATTTTCATGTGCAACTTTGTGGAAAACACGGGCTCACTTTGATGCCTCGCCAGCCTCCGCTTGCGTCTCTCAGTGGATATGGGTCGCAAGGGCCAACTACTAATAAGCTACTAGAAACTAGAATTAGCTAGACAAAATCATAGAACATCATAGAACGTATAAAAGGGAAAACATCAAACCAACAGCCCTCCAGTTGACATGATAGGCTTGCCTTGAAGCGCCCAAATTTTCCTGTCAAATCGAAGGAAGGAGCCTGGACCCCAGTTACCTGGCAGGCAAAAAGACCGAGCAGCTGACATAAAATGCAGAAGAGTGGGGTGTTGATTTTTTCTTCTGGAAACCACTGGGTGGCGGCATGTGTGTTCTGTTGTGTCTTAAGTTTCAACCCTCCTAAGCCGTGACCCTCCAAACCACTGTAGTAGGGATACTTCGGTCTTGAAAATCTGGATGTGACGTGAAGGGTGAAGCCGGGTGAAGCTGAGTGACTGACTATCAATTTCACTTCCAGCCTCTGCCTGTTCCCACGCATATCGCCCCGGCATATCCTCAAAGGGATCCTCCTCTCGTGCAGACAGAAGGTACTCAATGCCATCCTGGCGCACAAATGAAAGCGCAGCATTGGCCAAGCGGTTCGCATCCGAGTACGTCAAATCCAAATGAGGCATGTTTGCAGAATTTGACCCGTTAACTGCAGGTGCAAAAAATCCCCAGTGGCAACAGCCACGACACCATTGCCAAAAAGGCTGTCCTCAACCGTGCTGCGAAGTTTGGAGTACACCTCTGTGCAACCAGCACGGTCTTTGTGATCTATCCCAGCCTAAGTGACCAGGACTGCTCCTTCACATGGAATCACAAGCTGACATCACGGCGCCTTCCACACTCGTCTAGTCTGAACACAAAGCAACTGTAGGGGAGAGTGGGGACGTCGGAACAAAGGCACAACCTCGCCAACTTGCTGTGAGTGGCTCAAGAGACCATATCGAGGAACGCTACTTTACCCAAGCCAGATAGCAAACAACAAGCAAGTTGCATGGAAAACTTTCATAGGAGGCTTCCTCCACCATCGGAAGCAACTAGACACAGTCTGCTGAGGTGCTGGGTGTTTAAGACCGGTCTTCTCAGTCCAAAGTCCTCTCTGCAGATTGCTACGGCGCGCTCCAAGGAATGACTCGCTCAACTTGTCTGACGAAGTCACACGCCTTTTTCCTCGCTGACCGTCCAGGCATCTGTTGTGGGAGCATGGGGCTCAGTATGAGGCGTGAAACCTTCCCATGAAACGTGAAGACGCACCTCAGATGCCAGCATCCAGCATGTTCTGTCTAATTACTCTTGCTCAAGAGTGAAAATCAAATCTCCACCAATGGTGGGTTTTCATAAACTCCTGATCATGGTAGTCCCAGCAGCCAGCACATAAGATTTAAAATATGATGTGGTCAAAGGATGTCCAAGGTGTAATGAGGCGAGGCGCGGCCGGAGCTAGCGCAAGCACCTGACACAGCACTGCCAGGCACGAGATGCAAGGCCAGTGCGAGATGTAGAGCCAAATTTCGCCACCCAAATCAAAAGTACCTCCAAACTGTTCAGGGCCAAGCGCCTTACCCTGAACATTTCAGATACAAAAGAAATAGAAAAAATAATGACAATGAATCCAAGCAACCTTTCTCCCCACGCAGTTGGTCTGCAGACCTGAGAGCTGCAGAGAAGACCTGCAGCATAGCAACACGCTCAGAGTGACCACCACGACTGTGCGAAGTGGACACCAACGGCAAGAGCAGCTTTTCTGCTGCCTGCACAACGCACAAGATGGATATTTTGTTGGGGAGATTGGAATCAGATTGAGTGGACAGGACAAGATGTAAGAAACCCATCAATACCCTTCATATGGACATATGCAGCTTTTGACTTGGAGCCTGCCAATGCTGGCAGAACTCCCGTTCCGCTCGTCCATAGGTGACTATCTGTCCAGGTTGGTTGATGCATGCAGTCTCCAGGCCAGAATTCAAGCGAAGGGAATAGGAAACCCAAGCCAGCACCTGCAGGGCTACTGTCATTTGCAAAGCTTTGGCCAAGAGTTGTCAAGCAACAGCTGCAGAACCTGACTACACTGTGACTACACTACATAGAAAAATGCTCAAACATTATCAAAATGCAAACTTTAAACTCGCAGTTTAGCCGTTGAGCCACCCCAATGGAGCCCACAACGACTGGTGCCTTCGACTGGTGCAATCCGACGCGAAAGCTCTGCACTGACGGAGCGCGAGATTCGGAGAAGGCAGCATCTGGCGAAAATTCCGAGGAATGGGTGGCTGAGGTCTTCTGAAAAGCTTCCACGGCCCTTGCAGCTTCGGCCCAGACGGCCCAGATGGCGTCACCATCGCTCCAATCGCTCCAAAGTCCACAATGACTCGCAAGGCGTTGAGTAAAGTCTGGGCCCAAGTGCTCCAGCTGAAGCTCACCAACCCATGCCTCCAGAAGGCCCAGTTCTTGCCGCAAGGCCAATATATTTGAGCTCCCATTGATCGTGCGGGTTGCAAGCCCCAGTTCTTTCAGCTTCTGACCTGTGCCAAGTCTCTGTGGGCTTGGCTACCGGCTGACAGTCAACATACTTTGGCATATTCTAGCTAAACTCTCTTCCTGATGATGAGCATCTTGAAATAGTAATACCCATACTACAGAAATTTCAAATTATGCCCCATTGCAATGCCTATGGCACACATACATATATATATATATATTATATCATATATATATATATTTATTATACATTTTATTTTATATTATACTATATCATATATATGTATTACATTATATTATAGATTATATTATCTTTTTTTATATTATGTTATATTGTACTGTAATATGTTATATTATATTATGTTATGTTATGTTATATTATGTTATATTATGTTAGACGATATTACATTATATTGTATTAAATTATAGAATATTATTTATATTGTATTATACTGTTTTATATTATTACATTATGCATATATATATATATAAATATGTGATATTACATATCATTATATATCCATGCGTAATGATGCGTAACGATGCGTAATGATGCGTAATGATGCGTAATGATGCGTAATGTAGGTTGCCACAGTGCTTTGAAGTTTTTTGTACATAAGGTGAAGCTTGCCAAGGGGCAAAGTGGTTTAAAGATTCTTCCTTCAAAACGCCCGAGCAGTTCTTCCCAACGGTTGCTCAATTTCGCTGCAAGAGGTTGCAGTGCACACAGCACATGAACCCATCCCTCTGCAGTGTCAAAGTCATTGGCACACAAAGCACTGTCTGCAATGAGCCCAGCTGTCTCAAAATCCATCTGCTTGGACACTGACAACGCCCAAGCCACGTTTCCAACATCCAATGGCTTCAACGTGCTGAAGTGTTCCCTCACTGCCTGAGCTAAGGCCCTAAAGAGCTCCTCATCTTGCCACTGAAGCATCGCAAATGCCCACAGCACACAGCCTAGGTCTTGGGCACACATGTGCTTCAGTCGCTGCTTTGGCCCACAAAGCATATCTTGTGCTGCTTCTTTCATGAGGCTCACATCTCTCCACCAAACTTTGGCAAATGACCACAGCAGCTGCGATAGATCGAAATTCTCAAAGTCGGCAATTCTTCCTCGAGCATGATGTGCTACAGCAGCGAAAAGCCCCTCATGATAGAGCGTTTGGTTTGCGAATGTCCAAACCAGATTTGCAAGTTCCTGCGTCTTGAATGACTGAAGCTTGGGGATGGCAGCCTCGGCCCCTGCATCACAGAACGTGCGAAACATGCCAATTTTACCATGTATCCGACTGAATGCCCACAAAATATTTGTGATGTGTTGAGATGAGACCGGGCCACGGAAAACATCTGGGCAGCCTGCCACCGCTTCAAAGAGGGCGTGGTTCGCCAAACGCATCTGTGAAAACGACCACAGGACGTTGCTCAGGTTTTGCCCCAGGAGCTCTTCACTTTGTAGTAGCTGAATGGCCCGACGAGAAGCAACAAAGAACAAACGCCGATGCACCTGGCGAACAACAGCAAATCCCCAGAGTAGATTTCCCAATGACTGGCCATCAAACTCAGGAAGTCTTGGGACTGCGGCCTCTGCCAAGGGCCTGAACAAACCTGTCAAATTCTCTGCGTGCAGCTGAAGGGTACGACAACGAAGAAGAGTAGCATAGGCCCAAGCCGTGATTGCAAAGTGCCGTGGTTGCACCACTTGAGAGTCTTCTGCTTTGAATCTAAAAATGTCTGCCAAATTGCGACTGATCAAAACTAAAACATCCAACGTACGGTGCACAATTTCCGCCGTGGCCTTCTCGTTCTTAGACCACCAGCGGGCCAAACGATGAACGGCTGTCGTAGCACTGACCACGTCCAGATCTTTGTGGGTAAAAGAGTCATTGACCAGTGTCAAGAAATCGGAGATACCGTGTTCAAAGGCTCTGATGAAAACCACATGAGGCGCAGAATCTCTGCTTTGGCTGGGCTTTGCGAGCAGAGTTTGGTAGAAACTTGACTCCTTGCCCACCATTGCCGCCACGGCGGCGGAACGAACACTCTGGCTTCAAACATGACGAAGTGCGGCTACCCAGATTGCAAAGATTTCAGGGAGAGCGGACCTGTGACAGAAATCTTGATTTATGAGTAATTGAGGGACAAATATGGACAAAGAATATGGCTTTCTCCTCGTCTTTTCATAATCGTCTGGCCTTCCACCCTAAACTTATGTCCATCCTAAGTTGTTTGTGTCTCAGTTGTCCCTTTGTCCTGGCAGGTTGGGACAAGAACAATCCCTGCTACTTTCTTCTTGATAAAGCAGTGGCAGACAGAGAGAAAGAGAGAGAGAGAGAGTGCAGTGATAAAATAGAGGCGACGGCAGCTTCGCTGCGGCTGTCACATGGTAGCTTGCGCATGTCCTACTTAGTCTTGCCAGCCAAATCCCGCAAATTATTACTGTTCAGTCCTAGGTCCTAGCAACTTGCCTGGTTGTTTTTTTCATTCTGTTTCTTCCAAGTCGCTGTGGGGATAGGCTCGCCAAACAGAAAATAGTTGCGTCTGGGTCCTGCGAGTTAGAGCGAAGGAGCAACGTGGTGCAGCATAAAGTTTGAAACTGACAATCTAAAATTCTCATGCCATTCTCATGCCATTCTCATTCCATTCCCGTTTTACACCTTGTAGCCGCGGCGCTGGAACAGGCGGGACGAACACATCGTCCTGGACGGATGAAGCACCACTGCACAGGTAGTGTGAGAAACTGGGAGGGAGACCTTTACAAACGTCATGGAGCTTCAAACAGATCAGACAAACCAGCCTCGACAAGGCTTGGTAGATTGCGGATTCGCTCCCTAAACCAGTCTCCTAAGGTGAAAAAATGTGACATCGCTCCATGTCCAGAACTCCAGCAAAACAAAAACATCACAACATCACAAGGAGTTGATTGACCCAACTACTACGCGTGACTTGACGCAGGGCCAAGAATCCAACCACTGGCAACCCCAGTAGCTCGTCTGAATCCAGCACGGTACCAGCAAAGAACCTGGGTTTCTGTCTTGAAGCATTAGGAAGCATTAGGATCATCAGGAATCCACATGCGCCGTGGCGCCTCGGAAGTTCATTGCCAGTGCGCCAAGATGCTCATCGCTGCCAACGCCACTGAAAGGCACAATAGTGGCATTGGCCTTTGCCGCCAGTCTCACTAAATCAGCTGTGTCCGGCCAGAAGAGCTGGTACTCCTCGCCTTTGCCTGGGTAGTCTCGGCCATTCTACATCAGCTTGCTAGACGAAAATGATTGAAAATGATTGAACATGATTGACAATGATTGAAAATGATTGAATTTGATTGAAAATGATTGAACATGATTGAACATGATTGAACATGATTGAACATGATTGAACATGATTGAAAATGATTGAACATGATTGAAAATGATTGAAAATGATTGAACATGATTGAACATGATTGAAAATGATTGAAAATGATTGAAAATGATTGAACATGATTGAAAATGATTGAAAATGATTGAACATGATTGAACATGATTGAAAATGATTGAACATGATTGAACATGATTGAAAATGATTGAAAATGATTGAACATGATTGAACATGATTGAACATGATTGAACATGATTGAAAATTATTGAAAATTATTGAACATGATTGAACATGATTGAACATGATTGAAAATGATTGAAAATGATTGAAAATGATTGAACATGATTGAACATGATTGACAATGATTGAAAATGATTGAAAATGATTGAACATGATTGAACATGATTGAACATGATTGAAAATGATTGAAAATGATTGAAAATGATTGAAAATGATTGACAATGATTGAAAATGATTGACAATGATTGAAAATGATTGAACATGATTGAAAATGATTGAACATGATTGAACATGATTGAAAATGATTGAAAATGATTGAACATGATTGAAAATGATTGAAAATGTTTGAAAATGATTGAAGAGGATTGAAAATGATTGAAAGTGATTGAAACTGATTGAAAAATGCGACACCTGACATCAACCAAAACTTCTGGCTGAGTCTTTGACGTTTAAAGACCTCCCGGGCCCCGCCCGGGAAGAGAAGAGCTGCTCCGCCAGGCTGCAGAGTCTTTAGCAAATTTCGAGGACTCACGGGCTTCACCTTCCAAGTGGAGGCTTCACGGGTTGAGATCATTTGGGATCCACAGCTGAGCCAAGCCAAATCATCTGAAGACACCAGGTTTTGTTATCACAACTTTCTTGGCCGAATGGGTATGAGTGAGTTGTTGAGATTAATTGCCATATTACTGTAATATTGCTCCTCATTTGAATCCTAAATATGAATATTGTCGGAAACGGCGACGCCTGGAACTTCTCAAAGAGCTCCAGGGAGCCAGGGAATGGATAGGGCAGCGGATTCAGCGGTGAGACCTCCTGAATTCCGAAACAGGCAAAGCGCACAAGATCATACCGGTGCTCCGAAGCATGCTGCAAGCAATTTCGTGCAATTTCCACGACCTGTTGCCTAGACTTCAGGGACAAGTCCGGCACGTCCAATGAATGAGCACAATGAGCCAAGTGTCATCCAAGAGCGGAGGGTACACCATGGCAGTGACAAGCCTGTGTCGCTGGAAACGAGCCGCGAACCAAATTTATGGCCAGTAAAAGGCTTCCATACACCATGATTTGACGATTTGTCAGCGGCAGGAATGAGGATATGAGGTGCCGCATTACTGCTCGCGGAGAGCGGGTTGTTGAGTGCAGTGTAAGTCAGGGAAGGGGCACAGGGCACACCTGTTTTAGTGTCAAGTGGGATTGGCTGCACCCTGAACAAAGATTCAACGCTGTTCAATCAATGGAGGCTGGAGATATGGTTCAACAGCCTTCAAAGCTTGACATTTATATAAATGGTGGTGCGACGAGCTGGTTGGCTTGTCTCTTCACAATGTGTTGCTAAGGAAAGGACTGCTCCCACGGAGTGAGCCATGAGTTTGGGTCAAGAGTGTAAATCAGGCGGCAAAATAAAACGGGAAAACGTGTGGGCTGTGATTGAATCCCGAGGCCGATCTGCCCCAGAGTTGCGGAATTGAAGCACTTGTTGCAACTGTCACAACTGTCACAACTCCTCGTCCCCCGGAGTCCAAGGCTAGGTGTCCCATGTTCGCTGTGCCACCCTGTGCCCTGTCTCCAACCCTAAACTCCTGGTGTGAGTTTTGTGCGCGCTTGGAAGTGAATAACATGCAAGCAATTTAAAGCTACAAGTATCATTCCTTACTCAATTGTTTGGCATTCTGGCAAGAGGCCGTTGCTGCTCCCGCAAGAACTCTTCCACAATGAATATCCCATCTAAGCTGAACCTTGATCAAACTCAGAAATGAACCCAACATGTTAAAGCTGAAAATTCAACATCGCAACAAAGGCAAGTAGCTTCACAAGTAACCGGAGTCCGACTTGAATCACTGACCTGCCTTTCAGTCAAGCAACAGCTGATGGTTCCCCACTAGGAGCAAGGGAACGCCCGGGTCCACTGTCGGCAAACCCGGCATGATGCGGCCATGAGCTGCATGCAGAAACACTGGAGAGACCCAGGAACGCGCCTGAGATGCGTCAGGTGGTGCAAACTGTGCAAACAAGATATTGACAAAATAACTGGGTAAAAGATGGTAAAAGCATAAGAGAACTTCAGCAATTGAAAGAGAGCGCATGGGTAGAAGCAATTACACAGCTCTCCAAGATTCTCCAAGCATATAGAGGGACTTGCTCCAATTTGTGCAGCCAGTGCAGCAAATTTGACCGTACTTGAAACTTGTGCTTCCAGAACTGGAATCCGTGCCTGCATTAAGGACCTGTCCAACCAGGTCTTTGGTGTCAAGCTCGGGGTGTCCAAAGAAGCCTGGAGTTTCATGGAGAATCCAGATCTTTCCTCCAGGAGTTGAACTTTCATTGCCTTTACATGCCCTTAGCACCTTTACTTCATTTTACTTCCAGCTTGCATCAGCTTCTGAGCCTCCAAAGGTTGTGTTGACACATGTTGACACGGTATTTCCATGACATCCTTCGTTCTGCTAAGTGGCTCGGGTCAAGGACTGAATGATGTCGGCACTCGTCAGCAGGGACAAAAGATTCACATTGTCCACATCGTCGAAGAAAGCATGCCCTACCCCAGGCAGAACTTTTCTTTGAGCACCTTCAGGAGTTGCGCAACTGGGCAAAGCTTTCTTTGCAAACACACAGATCACACAGTACCAGAATGGCAAAACAGGGGAGCAATAAACCAGGCTCAAAGAGAAACAAAGCAGCTGAAAGGCAACAGTCAGAAACTGACTCACTCGGTGGTCTTGCTCTTTTCTATCCCCGGCTGATCACAGCGTATTGCCGTCGTCTCTGCCAGACTAATGACTAAAGGATCTACGTTGTCAGCCCTTGGTCTCACAGGGCATGTCGTCACACCAGCCACATGGAATTTGTAACTTTGAGCTCGGCCGTTTGGAGCCGCAATTGCGATACATCGCACACAAAGTTGCATAGACGCTATGACAATGTCTGGGGTTCCCATGGCATTCGACAGGTATCGTGGAACCGGTGTTGTGGTCCTTATTGCCACCAAACTACGCTTGGCCAGGACTGAACACAGAGAAACTGAGAGAGACTGAGAGAGACTGAGAGAGACTGAGAGAGACTGAGAGAGACTGAGAGAGAGAGAGAGAAAGAGAGAGAGAGAGAGAGAGAAAGAGAGAGAGGGAGAATAGAGCCCTACTCAGAACCTATCACTTTTTGAACTGTTCACTGCCACATGGGGCCATTAAAAGAAGCAGAAAACGTGCGCAAAGAATCGGCCAAGTACTGCACATTAAGACATAGCGAAGAACCATTTCTGAGGTTAATCCAACTATTTGCCACTGGACATGATCATATATCATTTCAGCCCCTCTGCTTGCTTGTAGAGACAGGGGTGGTAAAGAAAGCAAACCCCAACCATGGTTGCACAACATTCTGCATTCAAAATGAAAGCAAGGGTCGATGCGAGACACGATGTCATTCTGGGGCTGCACTGTGATTGAAGTCAAGCGGTTGGTCGATTTCATATCCTGTCCAAAAAGCAATGCCTCTGCGACCCCAATTCCAGGTGCGGCAAAAGCAATAGCTGTCATTTCCACGTGCGGACCTCTTGAGGTCTGTTGGTCCAATGACGTTGCTGGGAAACGAAGGGAAAACACATGGGCAAAAAAATGAAAACAACTTGTACAAAATTTGCTTGAAGGTAAAAGATCACAAAAAGTGCAAACGAAAAACGTATTTGTGAGATTTAAGTGTTCTTCCCGCCTGGACGTTTCAATTCTTGTCGGAGCACTTCTGCAGCGACCAACTTAGCAATCCCTCCGCCCAACGAGTGGCCGGTAATGTAATATGTCCGATTGGGGTAGCCTTGGTACAGGCAAGCTTTCTGATGCATTTACTAGTTGATGACATCAACATCTTCAGAATAGCGGATGCTATACAATTGCAGGCAATTGCAACGCACAGCAAGGCATTCATATGCATTCGAGTATCTGATCATTCGACTCTTCACCAGCTTCAGCAAATTGAGAAATGACAACGAAAAGTTTCCATCTTGCTGAACATAGACGTGCCTGCAAATCCAGGCGATGCCTGGGCCCCAAAGTTGGATCACACTTGGGCCCAGACGCTCAAAGACATACATCATGCCAACTGGAAGCCACAAATCCATATCTTGCAACGCATCAAACATGTCAGTCGTCCCTCGAACAGCAAAAATCGATGTACTGTTGTCTCCTGCAGTGAACTCGTAGAAGGAGGTCCAGTCAAATGTGCCAGTAAGCATGATCGGGATGTGTCTGTAGCTGACTCGCCAATGAGGGAAATATTGACGCAACAAGCCTTCAACGTGGCTAGGTGGTTCATAGGTGAAAGCTGACATAAGAGCAAAATCTGCCAAGGTCAGATCTGAATCACCATATGGTCCAGAGCGAAAAGCAATCGCACAAATTGGCCAACGTCCTCCTAAGTCTCCAATGTAGCCAATATCATAGTACTGACAACTTGGTGAAGTTGGATCACAAAACATGGGGTTGGCTCCGACCGTGCGGTGGTTCGCAATACAGCAGCTAATGACAGTGACCTGAGGGGCTGCAGGGAAAAACATGCTGGACACAGGGGGAAACGAGAAGGCAAAAAAATTATTGACTGCCTGTGAGGAGGAAGAAAACCAAAGGCACCTATACGCATAAATGAATAAATAAACATATACACAATGCATTGGTTTTAAAGTTTAAAGTTGTGTGTGTGTGTGTCAGATTATATGAATGCATATAAATGGACATAAATGCCATTCAATGCCACTTGGTCACCAGTGCCAGTTGAAACAGGCTGAGCAAAGACAGAGACAGCAGCTGAACCCGGACACCACATGCAAAGGTCCGTCTTAGGCCAAACTGGCGACAAAGCGAGAGACCCAAGATTAAACTGAGGTCCTGTACTGGACTCAGCACTGGGCTGGCCCACAGAATTGCCCAAGACACCAACATCAATGCAAAGCTCTCGAGCATTCCGAACAGCCACGTCAACGGTTTTTGGATCGAAACGGCAATCTGCACCAGGAAGCAAAGAAGCAGTGCCGCTGCACAGTATGACATAGAGTACCACCAGTCCAAGGCTCCAGCCAATAAGCCAAGGATATACGTCATGAAAATGAATGGCGTGCGAAAGTGAAGCTGATCATCATATCGAAGACCACAGAATGAGTCACCCCAATCTTGAAGAGCTTGCAGGGTAGGTCCAGCTGGCCAGCAGGTAAGGGCAGACAGCTCAGGATTGCCCAAGAGCATTCCAAGGATGATAAGAACGAGTGCCTCCAAGCTCAAGAAGATCACTGCAGAGTGACCGGTCAAACCACCAAGAAGAATCATTCCAAAAGAGAAAATCAATGGAAACACATCGAAAATGTGGAACAAGCCCACGCAAATCGGCAGGCAGCAATCAAACGGCTGCTCACTTTGGACACTTCCAATACTGGGCGCATCATGAACAGCAGTTTCATTGATCAGCACGTGACGTTGGCTCACAGTGCGGCGGGACAAGGGATCCGATGCAGCTGAAGGAGACATGATGATCTCCTCTTCCAGCCTATATGTGCTGTAGGGAAGGGCTATCGTCTGACTTCGTGGCCGAAACTGTCTGTTCGCATCTTCAAGGGTGATCTCCTCAAAAGCAAAAGTGTTTTGAAGCTCCCAGCCAGGCGGAAGAACCGTCTCAGGGAGTTCATTCTCAATGTCTTGAATTGGCAGCACTTTTGTGGCTGTGCCGTAGTAAGACACTTTCAGCACTTTTGCGCGACAGGCAGCCGCAAAGGCTACGATTTTCAGAGTCAGATCCCCAATAGTCCAAGCAGCCCAAAACAGGACCACATGAATGCAAGCGATTGCAAGCATAGCACTCGACAATTGGAAGTTGTTTTTCCAGGTCACGAGGTCAATGACAACCATCACCACCGGCAAAATGTCTAGTGAAACATGGATTACAAATTGTAAAATAAGATCGGCGACTTTGCGCCAGCTCTTGATGGGTGCAGGCCAACCACAAACATAGAGCCTCCCTGCGGCAATCTCTGCGAATGAAGCAAAACACATGGCACGGCGATAGGCTTCAAACATTTCAGTTCGCCATGCATCCACACTCATCAAGTAACAAAAGCGTAGGAGCTCGCTGGTGGTTCCAATGAGCAGCCAGGATTTCACGAAGGCTGCCAGAAAGCGGAGTGTGAAGTCGAAATCTGAGGAAGAAGGATCATAGTGGTGATACCATTCCACATGCCAAAACAGAACAATGACCAAGGACGCACAAGCAATGGCACAAGCAGCCACACAAAGAAGGTAGGTGTGCCATACTGCTAGAATGTTCTTGGTCCATGGTGCTGTTGTTAGCCAAGTTTGGCTCAAGGTACTTGAACGATTTGGACAGGCATCGCATCCTTCTGCCGAATCTCCGCTACTTTTTTCACTTCGGTCTGAACTCCGACTGCTGCTACGGCTGCCACGACTCCTGGCCCGGGATGCCCGGGATGCCCGGGATGCCCGGGATGCCCCGGAGGACTGCGACGCCTGTGATGCCTGTGACTCTGATCGCCGCCTCGCAGGCTGACGTCTCGACGGCAGCGCCTTGGGCGTCTGCCCTGGCAGCGCGTTTGGCTGCGGTAGCTGCAGCTGCGCTACCATTTTACCATCTTCGAACTGAAACAGCCACGGAGCAAGAAATAACAAATCACGAATCACCACTCACTACACTATCTGGAAATACGTGGGCTTTCAATGTGAGCACGATATAGCACGATGTTTCAAACACTCTTGTAGGCATGAAATTCAGTATCTTTGACGGCTTCTTTGCTTTGCTTTCTACTGGCTGGCTAGGGACTGCCTACTGTCTCTTGGGCGCATCAAATCTTCAATCAAGCGTATATTACGCAGGCAGCCCTGGTACGCTCTCTTTATTCCCTAACTGCTGAGTGATTTCTAAGCGTTTTTCTAGCACTTGTTTGCTGTGTGCAGCAGCTCGTGCATTCACTGCTTATGACACTTGAAGCATTGCTGCCAAACAACATGAAGACTTTTCCTGCCTGTATGCAACCTTAATACCCACTTATTTGCAATCTACCCAGAACACGCGAAAGGAAAACCATGCCCTTCAAGTTTGAAATTGGCGCACCAAGTTTGCCCTTTCCTAACCATCACACCTGGCAGTAGGTTCTGCAATCTCTTTGTCTCAGCCACGGATGGAAGCACAGCATCTGCATCCCCTGCCTTGGAAAAATATGAAAAAAAACAGTAGGTGTTTGCCAATATGTTGCGCCCTGAAGTTCTTGTGAAGATGCATCATTGTAGTAATGGTGCTGTAATGTATTATTAATTATTATTCTATGATTCGCCCCATGCGGGTATAGACGTCATGATAAGGATGTGATTCGTTTTGACGTTGATTCTAAATATTTGTGGAGGCAGGCGGGGCTCTACAGCCAAATTGCCAGTAGGAGTGTTGCAAAGCTCGATGAGTCTTGGAGTTGTTGCAGCTTCGGCTCAAGTTGACGCATGCCTCGGCCTCGGAAGAAATCACAAAGGCTTTCTACACTAGCGAGTGTTGGTCAAAGGCAGTAATAGACAGTCAGGGGGATGCGACGAATTCTCTGGAGTATCTGCACAAGTGTGGCAGAGTCTGTCCGCAGATCTCAGCCAAGTTTCGCAAAAGAGACTCGCGGAAGCGTAGTGTCGCAGGTGGCAGCACTTGGCTGAGGCCACCTGCCGCAAAAACGCCAAGTTGGAGCCGGAAAACGAGGAACAAACTTTGGAATCAAAGGCTGCAACCCAGAGACACCTCAAGGAGAACTCAGACATGCAGCCTGTATATATATATATATTATACATTTTATATATATATAGGAGTCACAAGGATGATTGTGAGTTCTCAGGGTCACAGAAGCAACAATAATAGATCCAAATAGTATCAACATATCAACCATTGAGCCATCTCCCATAAATTACCTCACCCCGGACTGAAACGCAATCGCTGTAGTAGTCCAAGCTTGAAATTGGAGCTCTTTGCGGCCAAGGGTCGGCTGATCCGCAGGAAATTGTCGACAAAATTTGTATCCTTGCTCTCAGTTGCAGTCCTCAAATCTCAAGTGGAACAAGCACGCCAAGAATTCTCAAGGCTGAAACCAAGGCAAAGGAAATATTGCTGACACTGCGTGCTGTGTTTCATCTGGTGTTTAACCATGTCAAGATATGTCAAGCAGGATCGAGCAGGATCGAGCAGGGCCTCTGGGTGATAACATCTTCGTACCAGCCAAGCCGACCAACCAGCGGCGTAATGACCTCGGCACGGGCAGCGTCTTACGGGCAGCGTCTTAGCATTGGTCCGTGCGATGTGCCATGCACGACATCGCAGCCGAGCCACAGCTGGAAGCGTCTCATAGACATTTTCGGGTAGGCTGGGGAGCAAAGGGGCCACCAGCGACAGTGGAGTTCCTCAAAATTCGTGACAAATCACAAAGTAGTACTGAAACAAGCGCGGATTCTCCGAGCTGTACTTCAAATCTGACCACATGTCCAAGTCAACGTAGTCAGTGCAGTCAACTTACATGTTGAATCATGTTCATGCATTCGCTACTCAGTGTTCACCGCTGCGTTGCCAGGTTTCTCCGGTAGCTCGTGGCTGGATTGATGAGGCAGAGAGCCTACGTGAGCGTCGATCCTACATGCGGCATATTGCTGTCCATATCAATCTTATTTTGCTGAGCGCTTAGCTCGAATGTTCCTGATTCTTGGCTCTTGTGGGCTTCGCAGGCTTAGTCAGGAGATGGAAATTGTTTCTTCTTCCAAATTCTCCACTGCAAATCATAATCACGTTTCCACAAAATAAACAATGGGCAGAAAGAAGAGTGGACAAATTCAAAGGCCAAAAAGTCATTCAAAAATCTACCAGAACACTTCTCATGCCAGGCTTATACTGCTGCAACAAGCTGGCGATATCCCTGCTTTCATGGGACAAGTGCAACTCGTAGCGACAGAATCATTGCAATCATTCATCTTCCAATTCGTGGGGGATCACATGAGCATCGCGTGACTCGCTACAAGGTTTCCTTGCTGTCCCGATGTCCCCTGCCTTTGTAGGCAACTTTTAGCTACCGGTGGTACATGGCCGAGCATGTCCAACATTCGAAGGATGAAGTAGCTGAGGGCCCCACATCAACCAGTTCTGGCTGCGACAGAGCCAGGTTCAATGCCAACACAGCACCCATAGACTCAGCTACCAGTAGCACCTGCCTGGTCCAATGCCAAGTCTGTTTAGTGGAGATCTGTCGTTCTGCTAGAAGCTGTCCACGTCCAAGTCTTGCATCTTATTAGATCATCATACATGTATGTGTGACATGTACATGTGTATATATATATGTGTGTGTGTGTGCTCATGCATGCATTATATATCATATTATGTAGTGTATGTCATTGCATCTTCAGTCGAGTTTCCTGTTTCCTGCTAGCCTCTCGTCTGATGTGCACATGATGAACGTTCTGTAGCATTTGCACGGTTTGCCTATCATCGCGTCTCTCCTCAATGAAGGTGCTCAGCGCCGCCAGGAGTTCTTCTAAACCACCTTACCACTGTGACACAATCTGACATCGCTGACATCAGTGCAGCCTTTAGATGTGCATAGTATATTTCATCTAAGCATGTAAGCATGTAAGCATGTGGGTAAGTAAGTAAGCAAGCAAGCAAGCAAGCAAGCAAGCAAGTAAGTAAGTCAGTGAGTGAGTGAGTGGGTGAGTGGGTGGGTGAGTGAGTAAGTAAGTAGGTATGTAGCTATGTAGCTATGTAGCTATGTAGCTATCTAGCTATGTAGCTATGTAGCTATGTAGCCATGTAGCTATGTAACTATGTAGCTATGTAGCTATGTAGCTATGTCATATGTCTCTAGGTCTCTAGGTCTATAGATCTGTAGATCTGTAGATCTGTAGGTACGTATAGTATATATATAGGATGTCTAGTTGTCTGTCTGTCTCTCTGTCTGCCTGCCTGCCTGCCTGCCTGCCTGGCTGGCTGCCTGGCTGGCTGTCTGTCTGGCTGGCTGGCTGGCTGTCTGCCTGCCTGCCTGCCTGTCTGTCTGTCTGTAATGTATGTATGTATGTATGTATGTCTCTCTGTCTCTCTGTCTCTCTGTCTCTCTGTCTCTCTGTCTCTCTGTCTGTCTGTCTGTCTGTCTGTCTGCCTGTCTGTAATGTAATGTAATGTAATGTAATGTAATGTAATGTAATGTATGTATGTATGTATGCATGCATGAACGCACGCACGCACGCACGCACGCACGTACGTACGTACGTAGGTACCTACGTATGTAGGTATGTAGGTATGTAGGTATGAAGGTATGAAGGTATGTAGGTATGTAGGTATGTAGGTATGTAAGTATGCAGGTATGTAGGTATGTAGGTATGTAGGTATGTAGGTAGGTAGATAGGTAGGTAGGTAGGTAGGTAGGTTAGGTAGGTAGGTCTGTCTGTCTGTCTGTCGGTAAATGTATGTATCCATGTATGTATATATGTATGTATGTATGTATGCATGTATGTATGTATGTAGTACGTACGTACGTACGTACGTACGTACGCGCACGTATGTATGTACGTATGTACGTATGTACGAATGTACGTATGTACGTATGTAGGTATGTAGGTATGTGCGTATGTACGTTTGTACATATGTACGTATGTACGTATGCACGTATGTACCTATGTACGTAAGTAAGTAATTAAGTAAGTAAGTAAGTAATCAAGTAAGTAAGTAAGTAAGTAAGTAAGTAAGTAATGAGGTATGAAAGTATGGAAGTATGTGAGTATGTATGTATGTCTGTATGTCTGTATGTATGTATGTCTGTCTGTATGTCTGTATGTCTGTATGTATGTATGTCTGTATGTCTGTATGTCTGTATGTCTGTATGTCTGTATGTCTGTATGTCTGTATGTCTGTATGCGTGTATGTGTGTATGTGTGTATGTATGTATGTGTGTATGTATGTATGTCTGCATGTATGTAGTCTGTATATCTGTATGTCTGTATGTATGTATGTATATGTGTCTGTATGTGTGTCTGTATGTGTGTCTGTATGTGTGTCTGTATGTGTGTCTGTATGTGTGTCTGTATGTATGTATGTATGTATGTATGCATCTATGTAAAAATAATGTTTGTATAAATAATGTATGTATAAAAAATGTATGTATAAATAATGTATGTATAAATAATGTATGTATAAATAATGTATGTATAAATAATGTATGTATGTAATGAATAATGTATGTATGTAAAAATAATGTATGTATAAAAAAATAATGTATGTATAAATAAATAATGTATGTATGTAAAAATAATGTATGTATGTATGTATGTATGTATTTATGTATGTATGTATGTAATGAATGGTATGTATGTAATGAATTGCATGTATGTAATGAATTGTATGTATGTAATGAATTGTATGTCTGTCTGTATGTATGTCTGTCTGTATGTCTGTATGTCTGTATGTATGTATGTATATAATTTATGTATGTATGTATATAATTTATGTATGTATGTATATAATTAATGTAATAATTAATGTATGTATGTATATAATTAATGTATGTACATAATTAATGCATGTATATAATTAATGTAATAATTAATGTTATGTATGTATATAATTAATGTATGTATGTATGTATGTATGTATGTATGTATGTATGTGTGTGTGTATGTGTGTATGTGTGTATGTGTGTATGTGTGTATGTGTGTATGTATGTATGTATGTATGCATGTATGTATGTATGTAATGAATTGTATGTATGTAATGAATTGTATGTATGTAATGAATTGTATGCATGTAATGAATTGTATGTATGTAATGAATTGTATGTATGTAATGAATTGTATGTATGTAATGAATTGTATGTATGTATGTATATGTATATGTATATGTATATGTATCTGCATCTGTATCTGTATCTGTATCTGTGTATGTATGTATGCATGCATGCATGCATGCATGTATGTATGTAGTTATGTAGTCATGTAGTTATGTAGTTATGTAGTTTTGTAGTGATGTAGTTATGTAGGTATGTAGTTTTGTAGGTATGTAGTATTGTAGTTATGTAGTTATGTAGTTTTATAGTTTTATAGTTGTGTTGGGAGGTATGTAGGTATGCAGGCATGCAGGTATGCAGGTTGGTATGTAGGCAGGTACGTACGCATGCATAGAATGCAAGTATTTATGTATGCATGACGTATGTATCTATGTATCTATGTATCTATGTATGCATCTATCTATCTATCTGTCTATCTATGCATCTGTCTGTCTATCTATCTATCTATCTATCTGTCTATCTATCCATCTTTCTTATCTATCCTATCTATTCTATCTATCCTAGCCTATCCTACCCGACCCTATCCTACCTAATCTTTCCATCCATCCGACCTAGCTATCGTATATATTTTTCTCTTATCAATCTTATCTATCTTGCCTATCTTATCTACAGTATCTTAAAAATATCTTATTCTATTTTTTGTCTTATCTATCTTATCTATCTGTTTTATCTACATGATGATTCTTTTGTATCTAGTTCATGCCAGCGGACCGACAACCGTGCTCGTAAAACTAACGTTTTTGAGAACGTGCAACTACGTTACTAACTTCTTAATGTTTAAAATCAACTTGCAACTATGTTACTAACTTTTCTAACCACTTGCATGGGATGGGGTGGGGTGGGCTATTAATTAACGCCTTTTCTACTAACAACTTCCAACTACGATACTAACATCTCTAACCACTTGCATGGGGTGGTGTGGGAAGGGCGCGGTTGGGTGAGGTAAGGCAACTTGCAACTATGTTGTTATCTTCTCGGTCAAGTTCCAACTACGTTGTCGGCTTTTGTGACACAACTTGCAACTACGTTGTTATCTTCTTTTTCAATTATCCGACTACCTCATCGACTCTTGTAACACAACTTGCAACTACGTTGTCGGCTCTGGTGACACAACTTGCAACTACGGACGTTGTTTTCTTCTCGGTCGAGTTCCAACTACATGGTTGACTTTTGTTAGTTGTTGTCTTCAGAAGGGAAATGGGCATTTTACATGGGTATGTGAGCCACCGTGCGGAATTCATGCGAAAAGTATATCGCAGCCGGGGCAAGCTTGTTTGTCATACTGTTACTATTGATGCAGCATGGTCTGCATTAAAGAATTGCATTCCCAAAAGTTTGTCCTCCCAAAGCCGTGATTTACTGTTGTACGCAAAATCATGGCAATGGAGGTACACAAACCGCAGTGCCAACTTGCAGCAGAAGACGGTTGAAGCATTGAAATGCATCTTCTGACTTTTCCATCTTTTCCAGACTCCACCAAAAAAGAAAAAAACGATGAAAATGAGCTGCTACTGTGGTAAAACGAGAAAACACCCAAAGTTTGGTATCCATTTTTTGGACGGTTTTCATGAAAGAAATTCGCGTTTCGCCACAGTACCAACGTGCTTTTACGAGAGACGTGATCCGGAGAGAGGTCTGCAGAGTTGGTTTCGACCAGCGAAACCCGAAACCCGAAACCCGAAACCGACTGTTAAAGTTGGTTTCGAACTGCGAAACCCGAAACCCGAAACCCGAAACCGACTCTGAAGACTTAACTTCCCCAGGACCGACCGAAACCCGAAACCCGAAACCCGAAACCCGAAACCCGAAACCCGAAACCGACTCTGAAGACTTAACTTCCCCAGGACCGATCGTAACCCGAAACCCGAAACCCGAAACCCGAAACCGACTGTTAAAGTTGGTTTCGAACTGCGAAACCCGAAACGCGAAACCCGAAACCCAAAACCGACTCTGAAGACTTAACTTCCCCAGGACAGATCTTATCTAATCTAGATCTAACCTAATCTAATCTAATCTAATCAGTCTATCTAATCTATCTAATCTAATCTAATCTGATCTAATCTATCTAATCTAATCTATCTAATCTAATCTAATCTATTCTATCTAATCTAATCTAGTCTATCTAATCTAATCCAATCTACCTAATCTAATCTAAACTAATCTACCTAATCTAATCTAATCTAATCTAATCTATCTATCTAACTAATCTAATTCAAATCTAATTCTAATCTAATTTAATCATATTTAATCTACCTAATCTAATCTAATCAAATCTAATTCAAATCTAATCTCATCTATATAGTCTAACCTAATCTCATCTACCTAACCTGCTCTAATTCAAATCTAGTTTAATCTATCTAATCTAATCTAATCTACCAAATCTAATCTAATCTGATCTAATCTACCTATTCTAATCTAATCTAATCTCATCTAATCTAATCTAATCTACCTAATCTAATCCAATTCTAATCTAATCTAATCTAATCTACCTATATAATCTAATCTATCTAATCTATCTAATTTATTCTAATCTACCTAATCTATCCTAATCTAATCTAATCTAATCTACCTAATCTAATCCAATTCTAATCTAATCCTAATCTAATCTAATCTAATCTAATCTACCTAATCTAATCTATTTCTAATCTTATCTATCTAATCTAATCTAATCAAATCTAATTTCATCTACCTAATCTAATCTAATTCTAATCTAGTTTAACCTATCTAATCTTATCTACTCTACCTTATCGAATCTAAGTCTAATCTACTCTAACCTAATCTACCTAACATAATCTAATCTACCTAATCTAACCTAATCTATCTATCTAAGTAATCTAATTCTAATCTAATCTTATCTACCTAATCAAATCAGATTTTAATCTAACCAAAACTAATCAAATCTAATCTATCTAATCTAATCTATCTAATCTAATCTAACCTACCTATTCTATAATAATTCTTATTCTAATCTAATCTAATCTACCTAATCTAATCCAATCTAACCTAATCTAATATTTCTAATCTAATATTTCTAATCTAATGATATCATATCATATCATATCATATCTATCCAACTAATCTAATCTAACCTAATCTAATCTATCTAATCATATCATATCTATATAGTCTAACCTAATCTAATCTACCTAACCTACTCTAATTCTAATCTAGTTTAATCTATCTAATCTAATCTAATCTACCTAATCTAATCTAATTTAATCTAATCTACCTAATTAATCTAATCTGATCTACTCTACCTAATCTAATCTAATCTAATCCAATCTAATCTAATCTACCTAATCTAATCCAATTCTAATCTAATCTAATCTACCTAATCTAATCTAATCTAATCCACTCAGTGACAGCTACTTACGGATGCTGGCAGGTTTCCCCCAAACCGTTGCCGTTTTTCCTCTCTGACCTTTTCAGGCGCTTGTCACTCACCGCTCTTGTTTTTGACGACTGCATGGAGAACGACACTTGGGTGATGTGAGATCGGCATCGTACTGGTGAATCTAAAGGTGGTTTCGACCTACGAAACCCGAAACCCGAAACGGACAGCTAAAGTTAGCTTCAATCGACGAAACCCGAAACCCGAAACCCGAATCCCGAAACCGACAGCGAAAGTTGGTTTCCGGCGACGAAACCCGAAACCCGAAACCGACAGCGAAAGTTGGTTTCAAGCGACGAAACCCGAAACCCGAAACCCGAAACCGACAGCAAAAGTGGGTTTCAATCGACGAAACCCGAAACCCGAAACCCGAAACCGACAGCGAAAGTTGGTTTCAAGCGACGAAACCCGAAACCCGAAACCCGAAACCGACAGCGAAAGTGGGTTTCAATCGACGAAACCCGAAACCCGAAACCGACAGCGAAAGTGGGTTTCAATCGACGAAACCGAAACCCGAAACCCGAAACCGACAGCGAAAGTTGGTTTCAATCGCGACGAAACCCGAAACCCGAAACCCGAAACCGACAGCGAAAGTGGGTTTCAATCGACGAAACCCGAAACCTGAAACCGAAACCCGAAACCGACAGCGAAAGTGGGTTTCAATCGACGAAACCCGAAACCCGAAACCCGAAACCGACAGCGAAAGTTGGTTTCAATCGACGAAACCCGAAACCCGAAACCCAAAACCCGAAACCGACTCGAATCCGACTTTTGGGTGGCTCTCCGGATCGGAACTCTTTTACGAGCACGGTTTCCGGTCCGGCGAGTTGTTTGTGTGGTCTATCTTATCTATCTAATTCATCTTATCTATCTTGCCTATCTTATTTATCTAATCTGTCTAATCCATATCCTCTTTCTCGTCTATCCTGTCTATCTTCTCTATCTCATCTATCTCATATATCGTGTCTATCCTATCTATCTTGTTCTTGTTCTTTATCTCATCTATCTCATATATCTCATCTGTCTCATCTGTCTCATCTGTCTCATCTGTCTCGTCTGTCTAAGCTGTCTACCTAATCTATCCAATCTATCAAAACTATCTAATCTATCTGATCTATCTAATCTATCTATTCTATCTAACCTGTCTAATCTATCTAACCTATTTAATATATCCAATATCATATATCCTATCTATCCTATTTATCCTATCCTATCCTATCTATCCTATCTATCCTCCCCATCCACCATATTACCTACCCTACGCACCCTATCTATCCTATCTATCCTATCTATCCTATCTGTCCTATCTATCCTTTCTATCCTATCTATCCTATGAATCCTATCCTATCCTATCTATCCTATCCTATCTATCCTGTCTATCCTGTCTGTCTGTCTGTCTGGCCTGCCTGGCTGGCTGGCTGGCTGTCTCTCTGTCCGTCTGTCTGTCTGTCTGTTTGCCTGCCTATCGATCGATCGATCGATCTATCCATCTATCTCTAGCTATCTACCTACCTACCTACCTAACCCTACCTACCTACCTACTACCCCTACCTACCTACCTACCTACCTGTCTGTCTGTCTATCTATCTGTCGATCTATCTATCTGTCTATCTATCTATCTGTCTGTCTATCTATCTATCTAACTATCTATCTATCCATCTATCCATCTATCCATCTATCCATCTATCCATCTATCCATCTATCCATCTATCCATCTATCCACCTATCCATCTATCCATCTATCCATCTATCCATCTATCCATCTATCCATCTATCCATCTATCCATCTATCCATCTATCCAACTATCCATCTATCCATCTATCCATCTATCCATCTATCCATCTATCCATCTATCCATCTATCTATCTATCTATCTTATCTATCTATGCATGGGTGGATGTATACGTGTCAATGTGTCAATGTGTCAATGTGTCAATTGACTAGTGAATGCGTCGATGTGTCAATGTGGTGTCAATGTCGTGTTAATGTCGTGTCAATGTCCTGTCAATGTCGTGTCAATGTCGTGTCAATGTCGTGTCAATGTCGTGTCAATGCGTCAATGTTTTAATGTGTCAATGTATGATATGCATATTTACAGTATATATTTATATGTATATAATATATATATATACAGTACGTGTGTGTGAGTAGCGGACAAACTATACATTAAATTTATATAATACCATGCACAAATTAGGGTCGTCCCCTATCGGTTGTGAGGATTTCAGTATTCCCGGAGGTATCACAAATGGGGTATCGGTATAGGGTCGTCCCCTATCGGTTATGAAGGTCTTGTGCAACCTCGAAAAGGCCAAGGCGAAGCAAAACTAAATTAGTGTTACGATAATTGTGTCGCTTACTCATATATAGTTCTTATATTTCATAATATAATATATGCGTGTCCGTGTGTGGGCCCAAAAAACATTCAAAAGAATGCATGCACAATCAATGCCCACAGCTGAAGCCACTCTTGATGTCCAAGCTGCTTCGATCTTCAGGGCCAACGTCCATGGTCCAGCAATCAAAGAAGGGCTGAAGCCGCCGAAATTGCGCTGAAGAGCTCCTGCCTGCACCATCGATGCCTTGCAATGCGCAACAAAATGCTAGGCAAGGGACCACAATCAATCTCTGGCCACTAACCGTCAGCAATGACAACAGCTCATGTTTCTTCAATTTTTTTTCGCACTTCTCAGCGCTGGAAGCGCAAGGTGCAAAAAAAGGGAACCAGGAGTCAAATGGTGCCCTGAACAAGCGAAACTTTGAATCAGCTTGTTGTGAGACTCAACCAAATATCTGCACACATTACTGTCCTTTGAGTTCTTCACCCGGCATTACTCTCACATCCCGGGTGAGGGTGGCCAGTATTGCTTCTGCACTCTCTTCATCGCTACTCAGCTGAAATTGTCTTTTGTGACCTCCTTCATCAACATCTAAAAGCAAGGATACACTTTGTGACATCGCCTGACTCTGCTCAGCAATGATTGATTTCACGCTGCTGAGTTTCAAGCGCTGTGGTGGACCCGCAGGCAACAAAGGCTGTATGAAGAAGTCTGTGCCCTTCAGTCCAACCCGACTTGGGGCATGGCCATGCGGGCCATGCTCATGCACACCTGCTGTCATGACTACTGGGACCGTCAAGCTAACATGTTCAGAGTCCCACTGAGAAAGCCATTCTTCGTGAGAAGCTGACTCAACCCACTGGCTCACAGCCTTCTTGGCTGCAACCTCTGCGAATTCTTCTGGTTCTTCGGGCTCGTCTTTGGTTCCTGCAGTCTGCAACTCTTTCAGCTTCAGATTGAGGGTTTCTAGTTCTTTTGCCTTTTCGTCAACAAGCTTCTCCTGCGCAATTGTTGCTTCTTGCTGTGATTTCAAGGATTCTGTCAGCTCCTGCTTTTGCCCCTCCACCTCTCGCAAAGCGTCCTCAAGCTTCTTGATGCGCGCTAGTTCCTCTTGGTCTGCTGTTGCATTCTCTGCAGGTGCATGCTCTGCTGGCGGTTGCTCTTCTCTGGGTTCAACGTGCTGCATTTCTTTCAGCTTTTGGTTCAGGCCTTCTACTTCCTTCGCTTTCTCTTCAATGACCTTGTCTTGTTCCTGCTTTTGCTGCTCAAGCTCTCGCAAAGCCTCCTCAAGCTTCTTGATGCGCGCTAGTTCCTCTTGGTCTGCTGTTGCACTCTCTGCAGGTGCATGCTCTGCTGGCGGTTGCTCTTCTCTGGGTTCAACGTGCTGCATTTCTTTCAGCTTTTGGTTCAGGCCTTCTACTTCCTTCGCTTTCTCTTCAATGACCTTGTCTTGTTCCTGCTTTTGCTGCTCAAGCTCTCGCAAAGCCTCCTCAAGCTTCTTGATGCGCGCTAGTTCCTCTTGGTCTGCTGTTGCATTCTCTGCAGGTGCATGCTCTGCTGGCGGTTGCTCTTCTCTGGGTTCAACGTGCTGCATTTCTTTGAGCTTTCGGTTCAGGTTTTCGACTTCCTTATCTTTCTCTTCAATGACCTTGTCTTGTTCCTGCTTTTGCTGCTCAAGCTCTCGCAAAGCCTCCTCAAGCTTCTTGATGCGCGCTAGTTCCTCTTGGTCTGCTGTTGCATTCTCTGCAGGTGCATGCTCTGCTGGCGGTTGCTCTTCTCTGGGTTCAACATGCTGCATTTCTTTGAGCTTTCGGTTCAGGCTTTCGACTTCCTTATCTTTCCTTTCAATGACCTTGTCTTGTTCTTGTTTTTGCCGGTCGACATCCTCCTTTTGACTTCTCACTTCCTCAAAGCTTTTCTGTGCCTCTCGCAAGGCATCCTCAAGCTTCTTGATGCGCGCTAGTCCCTCTTGGTCTGCAGCTGCATGCTCTGCTGATGCATGCTCTGCCGGCGGTTGCTGTTCTCCGTGTTCAATGTGCCGCATGTCTTTGAGCTTTTGGTTCAGGCCTTCTACTTCCTTCTCTTTCTCTTCAATGACCCTGTCTTGTTCCTGCCTTTGCTGCTCAAGCTCTTGCAAAGCCTCCTCAAGCTTCCCGATGCGCACTGATTCCTCCCGTTCCACGTCTGGCCGCGTTGCATGCTCTGCTTCTGGTTGATCTGCCTTTGTTTCAGACGTTTTCATTTGGTCAATCTGGGTGTTCAAAGCCTCGACCTCTTTGTGTTTTTCTTCCAGCTCCTTCGTCATCTTTCCTTTAAGCTGCTCCTCGTCTATCTTGTTTTTTCGCAACTCTTCTACTATCTTTTGTTGAGCAGCTGTCTCATTCTTTTGTGATTGCAGGGATTCGCTCAAGGTTTGCTTTTGTCGCTCAACATCCTCCCTCTGCTCTCTGACTTCGTCAGTCAATCTCTCAGCCTCCTGCAAAGCCTCCTCAAGCTCTTCAATTCGCTGTCCTGATTCCTCCTTTGCAGCTTTGGCAGCTCTTTCCATCTCCCGAATTCGTCTGCGAAGAGTCTCCTGCTCTGTCTCAGACAGCTCAAGCTTTTTCTGGTAGTCATCAACAACGCTGCGAGTTGACTCCAGTAGCTGTTCAAGCTTGCGGCTCTGGTACTGCGAATGGGACAGCTCTTTTGTAGTGTCCAGCAACTGCCGTTGAAGCTTCTGAGTGTTTTCCCTTGAGGCGATGACCTTTTCTTTCAAGGCCTCATTGTGTTTTTGTGAAACATCGAGCTGCCCAGCGAGCTCTGAGATCCGCTTTGACAGGCTCGCTATCTGCTCTGTTGAAGATGTGATTTGCGCAGAGTAGGAGTTGCGCAAATGTCTTGCTGCGACGTGGCCTGCATCCAGGTCTTTGAACTTTCCAGTCATCGAGGTTAGCTGAGACTCCAACTCAGACACCTGCTCCAAGAGCATGTCACCCTCATGCGGCAAATCTTCAAACTCATCTGGTCCATCTTCTGGGCCAAACAATGGAGGTAAATCCTGCAATACCGCAGGGACATCTGATTCCGCCTCAGGTGGTGCAGAGTTTCCAATGTCAAGGCCGCCCGCCTTTTCTGCTCGTCCTAGCTCTATCTCAGCAGCGAGCAATCGTTGCCGGCAGCCCTCTAGACGTGGAGGCACTTCATCCAGAAAGCCTGGCAAATTGGAGCCAATCTGAGAAACAAGGGATCAGCGCCTAACAAAATCAAAAAGTGTTGTTTCGTCTTTGTTTCGCCTTTTTTTGGCGTTTTGCTTCGTTGGATGGGTCCTATTCAGTACAGATATGTATATACAATATATATATATATATATGTATAATCCCATACCGATTCGTACGTTCTTACAGGTCCATAATGCAATTCGTCCAAGTGATGCAGTTTTTCCAATGGGTTTGCGGGTTCCCTGTCTCAAGAATCATGCGCGCACAGAGGGCATTGCAAAGTTGGGTTTGGTTGTGGTCTTGGCATGTCTTGGCCTGGAGCCTCCGGGTTAAGGTTCACCTTTGGCAGCTTGGCCCACACTTGGACACATTCGGATTGCACATTTCATACGCCATGTCTGGGGGGATGCTTTGTGTTTTTCAGTCCAGGGCACTTGTCCTGGTTATTTGTTGTATTTTGGAGTTAAAATATGCAATTTGCCGCATTTTGGAGCTAAAATGTGTCATTTGCACGTTCATCTGTTCTTGCATGGTGTTTATCGATTTCTCGTTGGTTTTAATCGATCGTCCCCCGGTGTTGTTTATCGCTTTTTCCTACCGTTTTCTCAATTTATCCATGAGTTGTCATCGGCTGTTCCGTGTGTTTGTATTTTTTCAATTGCTTTTAACACCTTTGTCCATGGTGTTTTTGATGTGTCCATGTTTTTTCCCCCCGATGATGTTTAACATGTTTCCATGTGTTTCGAAACTGTTGCATGGCTGTTTATAAATTGTCCATGGTGGTTCTTTTTTGATGGAGTTCATCAATTTGTTGATGGTTTTCATCGATGTCTGTATGGTTTTAGGTTGAAGGCTTTCAGTGTTGTTTCGATGGTTTTAATCGATTTCTCGATGGTTTTCATTGATTTCTTGATTGTCTTCATCGGTTTCTTTCCAAGTTTGTTTCGGGTTGGATTAGGGACCATTTAGGGATACAAAGAGTGCTCTATATATATATGGAATAATCAAAGATACATGTAGAGTAGTGTATTTACAAGTGTGCAAGCTTGGATTTACACAAAAAAACGGGAGGGTAATTGGAGGGACAGCACCTCCCGCCCAAAGGAGAATGACAATCCTATTCTGTAGGTTGAATCTGGCACTCAGGGGTCTAATGCACAACATGCACCTAGTGAACATGTAGAATGTAGATTGAGGCACGACCGTGCTGTTTGCGTTTCATTGGGGGGATGTTATCTCAGTGTTCCTTTAATTTATATTTTGTTTTTGGATCTTCTCTTTCTTATGCGACATTATTATCGTCCGTTTATTCTATCTAGTTTCTGTCTAACTCTTTGTCTGCACAATAATTGCAGCATACTGCCAGGAAACCACAAAAGGCAAAAAGCCAGGAAGCCAAAAGCAACAAAATGCAAAAGCAAAGAAGCCAAGAAGCCCAGAAGACAAGAGTCACCGAAGCCACCAAGCAAACAGCCGCAAAATCCAAAAAAGTCTGAAAAGAGTTGAAAAGCCACAAGAGCCAAGAAGCCAGACTGGAAAACAAAAACACACCTGTTAAACAAATACCTCTCCAATATAACATAGAAAAATCATGGACAATCAGAATGGTTCAGCGCAATTAGGGCTGACTGACAAGTGACAAATGACATGGAGGTTGAGAGGGGGTGGGATTTGTTATGATTTGTTAAGAGTAAAGGTTTCCTTGGTGCCTGGCCTGGGATCGCCCATCGAGGCCAGCCCTTCACCATAGCAGCTGTCGGTCCATCTGAGGTAATGTCAATGGTTCCCCAGGTCATTCGGCTGGAGTCACCCACAACGAAACCGCCATTCTGTTGCAAACCGGATGTGGCTTTGCCAACACCAGGCAGTGCTCCCGCAGATTGACTCTGTGGAATCCGAGGCATTGCTAGTTCACTAACATTCACTAACCCCTGAGGCATTAAACGCCTTGACAGAAGTGGCATCAGGCACCGGCAGAATTCAAGAAAATGAAAATGTTGTCAAATATGTTATACCATATACGCAGTGGTATGCGAAGCAAAGCCGGCTCTGAATCGGAACACTGCAAAGGCCAACAGGTAACTCACAGTGCAAGCAGTGCCAGTGTGGCAAGGCATGGCAAGGCGGCCTGGAAGAAAGAGCAGGAGAGGTTTCTTCGATCCTGATGATGCATCGTCAACTGATGTCAACTGATGATGCAAATTCGCGCAGCACGGAACGATTTCAGACAAAATGCAGCTGTTGCCTGGCACACTCCCAGAACCGAAAGCTGAAGGTCCAGCACCTAAGTACGTGCAGCGGAATCGACGCGGCTCGTAAAATGACGCAAAGTTTGTTGGCGTACAACTTCTGTGGATACTGAAGCCAAGCAACGGTCAAATTTCACTGCCCCACGAGAAATTGCTGTCACTCTCCTGGCCCTGTTGGTGCCAGATGGACCCACAAAGCCTCACATTCCCCGCGTTGTTCCAGGATCAGTTCCAAATTCATTTCCTCCAATCATTTCTAGGGCTTACTGCTACTAGACTCCAAGATGCAAGTGCTGCGCGTACGTATGGGAAGAATGGGCTGAGGATGGCTGAGGCATGAGGCAATTTGCACAAGGCGCACCTGGACCCAGTGCCACGAGAGCCGCAAGAGCTAGGCCAAGCAGGCGCCATGAAGGGCACATTGATCGATGTACAAGCACTGAAGGAGCGTTTGGATACGCAATGTACGTGTTTGGTTGAGAAGTGCTCGGTACAGTGTGCCATGACACGACAATTTCTAGGCTTCAAAACTGTTTGAAGCATTTGAGTGAGTAGATCATGCCTTGGCAAATCCGTGTGGTGATCGTATTGAACTTTCCATGAACGTGGTTGCGTACGAATGTCGCAGCCAAGTCATCTTGATCTCAAGGAACGGTTGACAAAAGAATGATAAAGAATGGCAAAAGCAGAGCAAGAGTAGGGTAAAAAGATGTACAGTAAAAAGATGTAAAAAGTAATTATGTAATATTTATAAAATATTTATAATATATATATATTACATACAGATATATATATATATACAGTATGGCAAATGTAAGGCAAAAGTAGGGGACGTATCGCCTCAAATGGATTAAAGACATATTTTTCAACCTGACTCATCCTCTGTCGAAGGAAAAATGGTGCAAGTTTCTCTCCAATTCTTACACCGCTCATCACCGCTCTAGATGCTCTAGATGCTCTAGATGCTCTAGGAGCTCGGGATGCTTCAAGGCTTGGCTCCGTACCCGGGAGAGCTCTGCACACCTTGACCCATCGTGTCCACGTGTTGCACATGATGCACATCATGTATCACATGGACAGGATTAGTCACAACTGGCGCACTGCGCAACAAAGTGCAACAAATGCGTGAATATGTATAGCCTGCTTCATCCAGGGCCCTTGCTATGACTTCTGGGCAGCTCCAAGCTTCTCTGATACCAGCACACTTTAGTGCCTGGGCCAAGTTTAAAGTCTAGCCAAGTCTAGCCATTGCAAAACAAAGCTCTTTGACTTCGAATGGAAATGCACCAACTGAAGCAACTTAGGCATAGAATCGGCTTTTGCGACTGCGAGCATCTGTGGCTGTGAGCATTTGAGGCAGCTGCTTGGCATGCTGTATCCATTGCACGCTGAACTCGAGACCCCATGGCACCTGATTGCAAACGGAAGAACGGGGGAGCATGTCAATTCAATCGCACTCGTCACAGCAGATCGAAGATGGTCAAAGCCAAAGCATGGATTGATGCCTTGAACTTGAATTTCTCTTGCGAAGGTCAGCTCTGTTGAGTTGGCCTGGCAACTCATTTGCAGTCTGTGAGAGCTAAGATCCTTCTGACAGTCGAAGAAGTTAGCAGAAGTTTGCAGCAAAAATTGACCTAAATTATACCAAATTGACATTATATACACGACCTGCCCAGCCCTTACTGCGCAACTTATCAGCACCAAAATGCAAGCCGCTTAGCCTTTTCGCCAGCCCACCGGTGCCGAATCCATCGCAAAGGTGTCTCCAAAAAATACCTTCAGAGTTACCAGTTGGGAAATGGTCAACCAAACAAGGTACGGACGGCATAAACTGTTTGGGATCTAAGCATCCTGCCAAGAAGATAGAAGGTCCAGCTGTTCCCGAAGAACCTGTATCAAACTTTTAGCTTCCAACCCCAAGTGGCCAAAACACCATGAGCTCTGAAATTCACAGATTTTACAATCTTATTGTGCCTTCCCGTTGGTCCTGCCATAAAGTCTTTCTTCTCACCACACTGCGAAGCACATTGACCTCTGAGATGGCAACAGGATTCCTGGAGGTGGGCCGCACTTGAGCCTCTTGACCTGCACTTGTCATCAATGGGAGCACATTTGGAGCACAGGACCTATCCAAGCTATCCAAGCATCACACAGCTGTGCAAACAATCACACCAAATGGATCCAAATGGTCACCGCGTCATTCCGAAACTATGACAGCGGATTCCGAAACTATGATTCGAAAACTAAAGCAAGTGATTTGGACACTACAGACAGCAAATTCGGAAACCATGAATCGGAAACTAGAACAAGTGACCCGCAAACCAAGATGAAGCAACGATGGCTATAGAGACATTATTTCACTATATTTCACTTATGAAGGTTTAAAAACTGACTGGGAAGCGTCACAAGAACTCTTGGAAAGATGAAGCTGTGAAGTTGAAGGATACTACTGCATGTAGGGCTTTAGGGGGGGGGTTAAAAAATGACTTGGAAGCGTCACAAGAACTCTTGTGAAGGTGAAGCAAATAGGGTCCGACTCCTGCGCAATAGTTTCTGAGTTGTAGTTTCCCTATCGTGCGTTAATAGTTTCCTAATCGTATAGTTTCCGAATCGGGCGATATAGTTTCCGAATCGTACGACATAGTTTCCGAATCGTAGTTTCCGAATCGCGTGACATAGTTTCGGAATCGCACGGAATAGTTTCCGAATCGTAGTTCGGAATCGCAGTTTCGGAATCGCGTGTAGTTTCTGAATCGGGCAATGTTCGATCCAAATAGCTTTCTGTAAACTTAATCGAGCGACTGAGTCCCACACCCACTCCTGACGCGATTGCGTCAGTTGAAGTTCCTGTCACCAGAAAGCATGATTCATTGCTCGTTTCATGCTGGGAGGCTTTCTTTCGATATTCAACATGCATCGTCATGATGTCTATCGGATAGGGCGGCAGCTCCCACATGGAGGTGGCTGTCAGTGTTGTGTGGAAACACTGCATGCTTAAATGCTTTGCTTCCTCTGTGCATCTTCCACTGGTATTGAGATATGTTGGGTGCAAAAATGTGCAACGTAACTGCGTCGCTCCAATATCTGGCTGATTTTTCTCGCAGTGAGTGTAGCACATTAAACAGGGGATCGCTCTGCTTGCCATATATGCGCCAACGCACGGGGCGCAGCCGTCGTCGCTGACCTGCCAACCCAACAGAACAGGACAACGAGAATGCCGACCCCTGTGACCCCTGTGAACACTTTTGCACTTGTCACTATGAAGATCTCACCGGCTGGCGGCTTGTCATGGGTTATCATCAGTACATATTATATAAGTGTACGTATTACATAGCTTTATATATATATACATATATATATTATGTATACACACACATATAATATATATATATATATTTATTTATTTATTTATAAGTTCCTATTGAATCCTATTCAAATATTGACCCATGTGACGACCGCCAGCGTGTTCTCACCCTAGCCGCTAGCCATTACAAATGCAGCACTTCGTCACACCTTCACCACAAAGCCCGGTTCCGCAGAACTCTGCACCTGTCAACAAGGGTTTGGTTGGCTTTCAGCATAATTGAATCCCTTGGAGGGGTTCACATGCCATTTCTTCACACAGGAAAGTGCGATCTTAGCTACCACATGTTGCTTGTTTCAAGATGCTGTCTTGAATTTCACTAAGACCTCCTAGCAGCATCTGCAAGAAAAGCAAAGTTAAAAGGGAGCAAACATTAGCAAACAAAAGCAAACTCGAACTCGCCTTTCTTGGAAAAGCCTTTTGGTGGAGGCTGCTTGTGCCAAAGCCGCATTCCTAGGAACAGAACGTCTCAAGTCACAGAGTCACAGAGTCACAAATGCATGGCTTATCATGGCTTGGCCTTGTGCCCTGGCGGCCCTGGCGGCCTTGGCGGCCCTGGCGGCCCTGGCGGCCCTGGCGGCCCTGGCGCTCGGATATTTTTTGCGTGGCTTCATCATCTTCATCCTCTCAGTAAAAGCTTTACAGATCTTTACAGTTGCAGCATGTCAATCAAGCTCAATTGAGCATGCTGCGCATGTTACAGGCATGCTACAGGTGCGCATGCTCAAATTCCTCGAAACTAAGGCTGCTGAGGCCTGATGACTCTGATCTATAGCAATGGATCTGCCGTGGCTTGAAGAATGCGAATCTGTATTGAAGCACTTTGAGCAGCAATGAATCATGTCCAAGCACTGGGACATGATGCCATCGATGCTTACTGTACACGCGCTTGTCATGCAACTCTAGCGGGCATAGAAAGCATTGCCATGACCGATTGGAGGCATTTGCCTTTGCAAGAGAGTGAAGCCATGTCTGACTAAGAAAGCATGCAGGTCTTTTTCTGTACAACCGCCCTTATAGTGCTCTTCGGACGAGATTTCTGTCATGATGTACCTGATGTGTGGCAGCACGTCCTCACAGCCATGTAACACATCCAGCTCGCTGCCTTGAACGTCTAGGTACATGAAGTCGAAGTCTTGAGGCTTCAATGCCAGGCGCTGAAACAAGCCATTCAAAGTCTCCGTCTGGATATCCTGGACTTCAGCCTGCTGAATGAAGGGAAAGTAGTTCTTATGACCTTCTCCTTGCACACAGCAGTGCTATCCCAGGAGGGTAGCCCAGAGGGGTCTGTCGGGTCAATGGGGTCTAAAACCTTGTGAGCCCGAGTCGAAACATCGGAATCAAGGTGGACCAAAAATGTCAGACAGTCAGACAATGTGAGACACATTGACACACTCTGTCAGACTCTGTCAGACTCTGTCAGACTCTGTCAGACTCTGTCCTAAGGGCTTCAAGGATGTGGAGATCGAATTGTCCGTTCGGAAGAGCTTGGCAGGACCAGCTTGGCTCGAGATGGCTGTGATGGCCACCACATCCTCCAGGCGACAGTGCCTCTGGAGCGCTGCTTCCAAGGGCTTGCGGCAATCCTCCTGTGCCTCGATCCATACGACCTTCGGCACCTTGAGCTCCTTGGTGAAAGAGGTGAAAAACATTGAAAAACGTGAAAGGTGTCAAAAACCTGAAGCAGTCTGAAGCAGTCTGAAGCAAGGGAACATGGGAACATGGGAACATGCGACACCAGTGAGGCAAGAATTCAACAAAGCGGGTGCTAACAGAAGAATGCGTTGAACATCTTCACTATAACTCCATTTCAGAAAGAAAATGCCAAACACATCCAAATACAGAAGATCACATAAATACGTATATGATATGATCATGAATCATGTACGCTTCAAGGTTTAGAATCCACAGCCGCGACCAAGGCTCTTGATACGTTGCTGCTTCTTGGCCGACATTTGCACCCACGTGGACCACCTCACATCCATGGTCTGAAGAGTCTGAAGAGTCAGAGCTCTCAAGGCTTCCACGAAATCAGAGCAGCTTTGGGGGAAGCATTTGGATCATTTGGAAAAACACCTAAAAAAAGAATTGAAATCTGCTGAAAAAATTGACAAATCCACCCCCTTCAAGGAAAGGGGAGCGAGGATGCTCTTGTAGTCCAGCTCGAAAGTGTTGCCACTGACAAAAAAGTAAGCCATTTTTGCATAGCGGAGCAGGCCCCACCACGCAATGAACCAAGGTGCTGCCAATGCAAAGTAAAAGAGCTGCAAAAGTCTTCGGGCTACAGCACCCTCAACTGAGGGATAAAACACTTTGTAGATGATGGCTTCACCAAGGCTCCCCTTCGCCCGATTCGCGCTCACAAAAGTTGAAGCCATAGCTTGCGCAGACTCGAGGCTGCAGTGCTGGCTTGAGACGATTTTAGCTGAGAAACAAAGGCAGCCTGCCTCATCAGCCTTACCTCCAAAGTCGCCAAAGCATGGATCTACTTGTGCCTTTCCCCATGAATTACCCATAGCCAAACGATCAAGGGACAGTGAGAGAGAACGAGGAGTGCTGATTTACATATTTCATTCCATGGATTTATCCTGCAAAATCCTGTAGTGAGACGCACTCCTCATCCCAACACAGCATTGCCAGATATTGCGAGGCTGGCCAGTAGATCTAGGCTGCATCTGGCAACTACCCCAGCTAAGTGCATTCAGGCAACGAACAATTCTGCGCTTCATTTGGCAAACAAAGCCACACCATGTCGACACGGCCACCGACTCAGTTGCTCGTCTCTTCCGAGCCTTTGCTGCACCAGCTCCACCTGCCTGAGCCTTTCCCAAATGTCGAGAATCTGACTTCCATGAACTTTCCACTGCGAGATCTTCGATGACTTTTGCTTTCTGACACTCTTTTTTGGATCTTGAAACAGCTTTTGCTCTCCTTGGTCTGGCGCACTTTGTTTTTGCTTTTGGTGCCACTCCTATTCTCCTTGCTTTTTTCGGCACCCTTGCTGGGGCTGCAAAGACTGAATCGTGGATTTGCCTTCCGCAACAGCTGGTCGAGGGGCAACGATGGGCAACAGCAATCCCACTGAATCAAAGTGATAAACAAATGCAGGAGGGGAGAATGAATGACGGCATAGTATGTTAAAGATTGTTAAAGACTATACAAGCGACGCACAAAGGCCTGTCGGGCTCGCCCAGCAGCCTGCGCAGGAAAGCGTGGTCTTTCAAGCGCCTGTCCTGTCACCAGTTTAGGATCACGAACACTGTTGCTTCATTCTGAAAATATCTGAACATATCTGAAAATCATGCCAAGTTAGACTGCTGAGAGATATTGAAACAAGCATTGAAGTTGGTGTTCATTGGCTTTGCACACCGTGAACCATGTTGTCGCTGCACTGCTTATTTTGCATATTTTGCATGCCTCAAATTGCTTGCAATGAGATTCATAGCTCATGGAGCCGATGATTTCTGCAAAGGCTCTTGACGACCTTGGAGGATCGAGGATTGCAGGAGGATTGCAGTGAATTGTGCAGCATTGTGCATCGCGCATGCACCGAGCCCTGGCCACTCTGAGATCTCTGAGATTGTCCAAGTGGCGCCATGCTATCGAAGTAGCGTCGCTTGTTCTCAAGCTCTTTGCGAAGTTCTCTGAAAGCTATGTCTGCATCTCCTGGCAGAGCTGGCAGAGCTTCAGCTTCAGAGCAGAGACGCGTCAAATGCGGGGCATCAAGCATCACCCAGCCATGGACAACAAACAAGTTGTCAAGATTGTTCACAATCATAGGAGCGAGGAATCTATAGAGATAGGGAGTCAGGAAGAAACAAAATAGGGAGGGATGGGTTTCCTTGCAAAGCTCTCCCGCTCCGAACTTGCTGCGCAAGAGGCACATATGATACTTTTAATAGAGGTGAATAATAATAATAACAATAACAATAATAATATATAGTAATAATAATGAGACAACAAGAGGCAAACATCCAGGACTGCTCCACGTGCACCACAAAAAGAGAGGAGCTCCTCCTGGAGTCAAGCCCGCATCCAGTAGCATATCCTTGGAACTTCAGCACGCTCAGAACCAAACCTAGCCAACAGGGCAACTCCATCTCTTGGCCAAGAGTTCGGGCCCACGGCCCAACGCCGAGACACGCCAACTTGTCTTTGGGCCAACCGTAGTAAACGATCCTCCTGCAGTTTGCAAACAAATTCGGGCCACCTTCAACAATGACAATTGTGACATATTGATTACATGAATTACATGTGACAATTATTCTCTCAAATCTCTTCTGCAAAATCCTCCACGCAGTCGAGTTCAGATATCAAGTTTGATTTCTTGTCCTGCTCAGTCCATCCCAGCGGTCGCAAGAACTTCTTAGGCACCGTGCCAGCCTGCACCGGGAAATGCGTGGACAAAGAGGTGATATGAGGTGATCATTTTCAATATACAAATCACAAGTGTTCAAAAGCGTCAAAGAAAACTGCGCTCCACCACGCCTTACGGCCCATTTCCGTCGGAAGTACAGCAAGCTTGGAGGTATCAACCTCAGAACGTGCTGCAATTGGAATGCATGGATTTCATGGTTCCTGGAAAGCTCATCGCTGAATACAAACCATACACTGCTTTTAAGACAATAGGACTCAACAGGACCACTAGTCTCAGCGGAAAGGAAACATGGCACCAAGGCACGAGTAGTAGCCTTTTGTTCTCGAGTTTGTTCATGCCATCCTGGTGACAGCGGTGAACATTCCAATGCTAGGCTTGTCACTCAGGCTTTGCAGAAACTGGAAGTCACGGTCCGCACGTCTACACCAAACGATTCGGGCAAACATATTCAAATATCGCAAATATATGCAAATATCATCAAATATCTGCGGGATCCACTGCAAAGAGATGCAATGTGGTGTGTTTGCTTCTTAGGGAATGCTGTGTATATATATATGTATATATAGGTTGCTCATGTGGTGTTGCAGTACGTCACGTCATGTTAGCTCGTGTCATGCATGTTCTGGAGCAATTAATTAGATGCAGCAATATAGATGTGCATAGACTGACACCATGGTCCTATGGTCAAATGAGTTAACAACAATTGAACCATGCATAAACCGATTGAAGCATGGACTGACCGAAAGACGGATGATGCTTCTATCGGTTTCTATCTGCGCAATCCTACGGACATAACTTTGCCACGATGAGCCGAGGATGCAGCGCGCTGGGGGTACAAGTTGCCTATTGGACTTCTTCGCGAACAAAAAGGATCAAAAAGGATGGCATATGTTTGAGCAGTTGGAAGGTTCCCGCTGCCTTCGCATCTGGGGTGCTGTACAGAGTCCAAATCCATTTCTCCTTCCTTTCCTTTCCTTGACAGCTTGGTTCTTTGCCAATGGTGGCCATGGTGTAGTCACCTGTCAGAATCAAAAGCGTCAAAAAGCTGCGGGGGAGGAGACATGCCTCGAATAAAACAAGAAAAGAATGTTTAAAGAATGAAACTGGAAGAACCACCCAGCTACAAGTAATATCGAACAAGACATGGGTGAGCCTTTGCATAGCATCCTGCTTTCAGGCGGTATACTTTCTTCCTGTCCTGTGCCTTCCTGATGCATCATGCCTTCATGAAACAATGAGCCGTGCCCTGACAGGCTTCCTTTTTGCTCGGTACCATCCTCCTGGGTCTTGCATTCTTCAGGCCGTGTGCTGTTGTCACGCAAGACTGCTTCATGCGGGACTTCCTGCTGTATTTCTTCCTCATCCGACATGTTTGCTCGCTGCATTGTTCCCGTCTCAGGCTCAGGTAAAAATCTTTCTCGGGTTGTGCCTTCTGGTGGTGGGCCATTTTTCTGCACTGGTTTTTGTTGTTTTGATGCTGTGTTTTCTTTTGGCAGCTTGCCTTCTTCAAGTGGCACGACTTCCGGTGGTGTGCCTTCTTTGGGCGACATCCTCTCTTCCGGCAACATGCGGTCCGTAGGCAGAGACTGTCCCCATGGTCCACATTCGCATGGCCAGCCGTTGAGCTTCTGATTCTCAAGTCCCACGAAGACTGCCTGAAGGCAAAACAGGACAAAAAAAGAAACAGAAGCAACGCCGAGCAACACGCATGTTGGGATCTCTAGCTCCCGAATTCAGTCTCTTTGTAGTATACATTATATATAGTATCATGCAGAGGTGCCAATGTGGAGGATATGTCATAACCCGTGGTTTGCCATGTTTTAGCTACACGGCTACACGTCTTGTTTCAATATGATGGATATGGGCATATACACAAACATATTTGCCCCATATTCAAAAACCCTCCTTGAGAAAACCCTCCAAGGACACGTCTACGTCATGTTCAAATTCATACACTTTTGTGCATTTCTAGTAGCAAGTCATCACTACATACGTTGAACTGTACATGCACATACTTCCCGAATATAGGTTCTTGCCTATCTAGTTTCGAAAATGCATCTGCGTATCAATCCCATTCATCCCTACCCGCATTACCGTGCAAAGCCACAGTATACAACATCATGCCAGCAAGCGATCAACCGACCAGACCGACAAACCAAGCGAGCGACCAATCGACCCTTCAAATTAGCTCACAGAAATTCATGCTGAACCTTGCATCATGACATGGCACAATACATTAGATTCATTTTTTGGATTCATCAACGTTACTTACATGCCTCAGGTTGTTTCCATATGCGATAATTACAATGTGTGTACACAATTGTTTGAAGCGCAACAGTCCACAACATCTGCACCACTGCGCTAAATGCAACAATTTGCTACTTGGCTTAGTCCGAGATAGTTGGAGTGATATGTAAAGTCAACAGAAGGAAGATGAGGGAAAACGGAAAGCAAAATGAAAAGGCAATAGCATTGAGAACTGACCCTTGGGACCTTGTCACCTGGTCTGGGCATACCCTCTTGCCCTGCCACTAGAATGACATCATCTGGTACAGAAATCCTGGGTGCGGCGCAGAAATGCAACAACGAAAACCTCAATGTTTCCAGATCTCTTCATTAGCGACTGTTTTGGGTAACGGGTAAAGGTGATCATGGTCAACGGAGCGAACGATTTTTGAATGCTGAGCAATGAGACTGAACGCAGCAAGTGTATTGAATGGATGCTACAATTTTGGCACTCATGCAAGTGAGCATCAGCGAGAGCTTCTGCAAGTGACCTTGGGAACGTGTGGGAATGTGCGAAGGTGGCAGGCGCAACCTTTCTCAAGCCAAAAACAAACTCCCTGGTCATCCCTGAATTTGATTTGATCTTCGCAGCTGAAGTCAATGTCAAGTGCTTGCCCTTTCTGTCCTCATCTCTCTGTCCAGTGTCTGAGGATAATACGAAGTATTGAGTAACCTTTGGTGTATGGTGAGGCTCCCAAGTACGCACATAGTTCCCCAGTGCCAACAACTATCACCTAAGACGGCGGATAGATGTCAGTATCAATGAGGCTAATTCATCTGCCACTTCACGACTTCACTGCAGCAAAGCACATAAAGAAAGTGCAAACATCACTGCATATCTACCCACATGACTACATGATATATTTAGCGAAGGAAGTTTAGAAGTCAAATTTCCACCAATATGGACAGACGGAAAAGCAGAGGTGGGAAGAGCCAGGGAAGAGAAGAGAAGAGAAGAGAAGAGAAGAGAAGAGAGGAGAGGAGAGGAGAGGAGAGGAGAGGAGACGAGACGAGAAGAGGAGAGAAGATCAGAAGATCAGAAGAAGATCAGAAGAAGATCAGAAGAAGATCAAAAGAAGATCAAAAGAAGATGCAGGTGTGCGAAAAGGTAGAAAAGTCGCGAAACACTGTGTTTTTTCAATGTTTTGTGGCTCTGGGAGGGTCGAAAAGTAGGCTCGCTAAAGCGGCGGGTGCGGAGCCATGTGCCCAGATGAGAGATGAAAAATTGCACTGTTGTGGCGCGAAGCACATGTCCAAGTCAAAATGTACAAAACAACACCTCAGCTTCGGAGCACTTTTGGAAGTCGAGATGTCCAAAAAGTGCACGCCGCGGTGGCGCGAACCGCATTTCCAAGTCAAAAGTGTTAAAAACTGACGGGTTCGGAGCACTTTTTGAAGTTGAGATGTTGAAAAAGTACACGGCGTTGTGGCACGAAGCACATATTGACATATTGAAGCGAAAATGTTTAAAACTTTGGAAGCTGAAGTGTTGAAAAATTGCACGCCGTTGTGACGCGAAGCGCGTTTGGAAGTGAAAATGCTAAACACCACATGTTCGCGCCACTTTTGGACGTTGAAGCGTCGTTTCGCGTGGCAAGCGAAAAGGATTCTGCACCCTGCTAAAAATCTAATTCAGAGTGAGCAAAACGTGAGGGTTTTGTATCAGTTTCAAAAACGTTGGCAGGCGTGGGATATTTGAAGAAGATCTGCAAAAATGCCTTTTTTGCATAGCAGGCGCAATACAAGAGACACATGAGTCAGATACGTTAGGAGGTCAGGGCGCTGATTTCCTGAGAGGGGTTGCATTTTGGAGCCTCAAATCTTCAGGTTTGCTAAGATGATTTTGCGTGACAGGTGCAGCACTTCGTATGACCTGGCTTCACTTTTTCGTGGCAAGCGCAATGCTTTAGACAGGTGGACTGGAAAAATCAAAAAGCGCATTGGCACGAGGCTGCCAGCTCTGCACTCAACTTTCCATTGTTGAAGGGAGTCTCGCAGAAGTGCTTCGTTTTTGATGTTGTCAACTTGAAAATTTGAAGAAATATCGCAGACTCGCTTCGTTTTTGACACTGTCAAGTTCAATAAGCTTTGGTGGTATCCCCAACAGCCGCAACGTTTTATTTTTACAAATCTTTCTGAAGAGTGCTGCGAAGCCAAGCGCTGGGAAACCCAAACCTTCTCCGGACCTTCTCCGCGACCTTCTCCGGAAACCCTTGAACCTCACCTGGCTCTGCACCAAAGCCTCCCAGACCTTCTCCGGAGCCTTCTTCAGAACCCTGTTGAGCCTGACCCGGCTCAGCATCAAAACCTCCCAGACCTTCTCCGGAACCTTCTCTGGGTCCCTGTTGAACTTGACCTGGCTCGGCACCGAAACCTCCCAGACCTTCTCCGGAACCTTCACTGGAACCTTCTCCGGGACCCTGTTGAACCTGACTTGGCTTTGCACCAAGGCTTCCGGGAACCTTCTCCGGAACCTTCTGCTGAACCTGACCTGGCTCGGCACCGAAGCCTCCCAGACCTTCACCGGAACCTTCTCCGGAACCTTCTGCAGAACCCGTTGAACTGACTTGGCTTTGCACCAAGGCTTCCGGGCACATTCTCCGGAACCTTCTCCGGCACCCTGTTGAACCTGACCTGGCCGCACCAAAGCCTCCCAAACCTTTTCAGAACCGTCTCCAGAACCCTGTGACCTGGCTCTCCACCAAACTTCTCCGGAACTCTGTTGAACCTGACCTGGCTCTGCACCAAAGCCTCCCAGACCTTCTCCGGAACCTTCTTCAGAACCCTGTTGAACCTGACCCTGCTCTGCACCAAAGCCTCCCGCAACCTTCTCCGGAACATTCTTCGGAACTCTGTTGAAAACGTGACCGCGCCAAAACCTCCCAGACCTTCTCCGGAACCTTTTCTTGGGTCCCTGTTGAACCTGACCTGGCTCGGCACCGAAGCCTCCCAGACCTTCACCGGAACCTTCTCCGGAACCCTGTTGAACCTGACCTGGCTCTGCACCAAAGCCTCCCAGACCTTCTCCGCAACCTTCACTGGAACTTTCTCCGGGTTCCTGCTGAGCCCTGACCTGGCTCTCCACCAAACCCTCCCCGTCCTTCTCCGGAACATTTTCTGGAACCTTCTCCGGAACCCTGTTGAACCTGACTTGGCTTTGCACCAAGGCTTCCGGGAACCGTCTCCGGAACCCTGTTGAACTTGACCTGGCTCTGCACCAAAGCCTCCCAGACCTTCTTCGGAACCTTCGGAACCTTCTGTGGAACCTCGTTGAACCTGACCCGGTGCCTGCACCAGTGCACACCGGGGCTCTTCTGGGATGAAGACCCCATTAGCTTACGCTGTTGGGGAAAAATTGAGGCAGTCTCGTAGAATTGCTGCGGCTCTCATGTTGTCAAGTTGAAAAGTTGAGGATGTCTGGCAGAATAGCTTCGTTTTCAAGCTTGCAGGTAGACAGACAAATAAATAGACAGAGACTACAGCTACAACTACCACTACAATACAGTACACCTACAACTACCCCTACCACCACACCCGCAAGTACAACTACAATTACAACCACAACTTCAATTACAACTACAACTTCAACATCATCTTTACCTACACTACAACTACAACTGCCACTAGCACCACGGCTACAAGCACAGGTACAACTACAATTACAACTACAACTACAACTACACTACAACTACACCACAACTAGAACCACAACCACAACTACAATTACAACTAAAACTACACTACAACCAGGGAATCGGCTGACTCGCCGCCATGCAACTGTCGATATCTTTGTTCTTCATTCGCAAGATGACATGCTGAAACCCAGTGTTTTGTACATTCATCTTTGGACATCATTTACAAAGTATCATTTTGCACTGCGTGGGCCAATTCAAAATGAAGGAAACAAATGGTATTTCGTTCAGGCGAAACTATCATTTTTTGATCACGTTGGGGAACAAGTTTGGAAATGCGCGTTGATCTAACAAATCACATGCCCAAACAGCTCAGAAGCATCTTTTTCAACTCTGCCACAAGCATTCGGGAAGCTTTTCTGAGATAGAACTTGTGATGGAAGCATTATGCCTCCACTGGAAAGTATGCGCAAGTGTAGCAACTTGCTGCAACATCAAACAGACGCTTGCGTACGTTAAAAACACATGCAAGGGTAGCAACATATTCTCCAACCGTAACATCAAACAGATGCTAGCGCAGGTTAAAGACATGTGCAGACGCAGCAACATATTCTCTTTCCGTAGCATGCCAAAAACATAGCATCATGTAGGTGTGGAAGTACCCCGCTCCACCCCATCTCTAACATAGCATCATGTAGGTGTGCAAGTGCCAAAGGACGTTCTTGGCCCCACCCCGCCCCACCCCGCCGTACCAGGACCGAATCCCACCTCGCACAACATCGAAATATACTATAGCAAAAATGCACAACCCTTCTGGGGCGGCGAGCCAGCCGATAGCCTACAATTACAGCTACAACCACAACTACAACAACAACTACCACTACCACTGCACTACACTACCCCACACTTTGCATCTAGCACCGTGCTGACCAACGCTACAACTACAGCTACAGCTACGGCTACAACAACAACTACCACTACAGTACACTACCACTACAACTACCACTACCACTACCACTACACTACAACTACACCTACCAGTTGTACCGCACAAGGCGGTGGCGGAAGTTTCATAAAAAGGAAACCTATAGGAGAGATTGGTTGTTGTGAATCACGGATGGCAGAGCGAATCCACTGATGGACCGAAAGGTGGTTGGAGTTGTATTTTTTGGCGTGGTTGCAATGGTTGCAGTGGTCACCTGGTCGGTCACCTCACCCACAACTGCTGGATGTAGTGTGGTGTAGCGCGGCTGTAGTTGTAGTCGTAGCGTGGTGGAGTTGTAGTTGTGGTGTCGTGTAATTAGTGTAGCGCAGTTGCAATTGCATTTGTGGTGGTGTAATGAGCGCAGTGTAATGTAATGTAGGGTAGCGTAGGGTAGTCTAATTTCGTGTAGTGTAAAGTAGCGTAGTTTTAGTTGTAGCTGTACTTGCAGTTAGTGTAGTGTAGTGTGGTGCGGTGTGGTGTGGTGTTGTGTAGTATGGTGTAGTGTAGTATAGTGTAGTGCAACGTAGTGTAGTTGTAGCTGTAGTCGTAGCTGTAGTTGTAGCGTGCTGTCGTGTCATTGAGTGTAGTGTAGTGAAGTGAAGTGGAGTGTAGTGTGTGTGTGGGGCGCAATGTAGTGTAGTGTAATGTGATTAGCGTAGTGAAAAGGAGCGTAGTTGCAGCTGCAGCTGTAATTGTAGTTAGTGCAGTGTGGTGTAGTGTAGTGAAGTGAAGTGGAGTGTAGTGTAGTGTAATGTAGTGTAGTGTAGTGTAATGTATTTAGCGTAGTGTAAAGTAGCGCAATTGTTGCTGTAGTTGTAGTTGTAGTTGTAGTTAGTGTAGTGTAGCGTAGCGTAGTGTAGTGTAGTGTGGTGTAGTGTCGTGTGGTCTGGTGTGGTGTGGCGCGGTGCGGTGAGGTGTGGTGTTGTAAGTGTGGTGTGGTGTAGTGTAGTGTAGTGTAGTGCAATCTAATTAGTGTAGTGTAATGTAGTTGTAGCTGTAGTTGTAGCTGTAGTTGTAGCTGTAGTTGTAGTGTAGCATAGTGTAGTGTAAAATTGAGTGTAGTGTAGCGCAGTGAAGTGGAGTGTAGTGTAGTGTAATGTAACTAGTGACTATAATTAGTGTAGTGTAGTGTCGTGTAATGTAGTGTACTTGTAGTTGTAGTTGTAGTTGTAGTTAGTGTAGTGTAGTGTGGTGTAAGTGAGTTTAGCGTAGTGGAGTGTAGTGTAACTAGTGTAGTGTAGTGCATTGTAGTGTAGTGTATGTAGTGTAGTGCAGTGTAGTGTAATTAGTGTAGTGTAGTGTAATTAGCGTAGTGTAGTGTAGAGTAATGTAGTTGCAGTTGCAGTTGTAGTTGTAGTTGTGGTTGTCTATCTATCTGTCTTTCTGCAAGCTTGAAAACGAAGCTATTCTGCGAGACTTCCTCAATTTTTTGAACTTGACAACGTCAAAAACGATTCAACTCTGCGAGGTTTCCTCAGTTTTTGAACTTGACAACATCAAAAACGAAACAATTCTGCGAGACTTCCTCAATTTTCGAAGTTGACAACATCAAAAACGAAAGAATGGTGCGAGACGTCCTTCAAGAATGGAAAGTTGAGTGCAGAGCTGACGGCCCTGTGCCAATGCGTTATTGCGATTTTCCCGCTCCATCTGTCTAAAGTGCTGCGCCTGCCACGAAAAAGTGATGCCAAGTCATACAAAGTGCTGCACCAGTCACGCAAAATCACCTTCGCAAACTTGAAGATCTGATGCTCCAAAATGCAACCCCTCTCAGGAAATCCGGCCTGACCTCCTAACATCTCTGATGAACATGTCTCTTGTACTGCGCCTGCCACGCGAAATCCATCTTTGCAGATCCTCTTCAAATGTCCCACGCCCGCCATCGTTTTTGGAAAAGCCACAAAACCCTCACGTTTTGCTCACGTTTGGCAGGGTGGAGAATCCCCTGCGCCTGCCACGCGAAACGACATCTGAACGTCCAAAAGTGCTCCGAGCCCGTCAGTTTTTTACACTTTTGACTTCGAAATGTGCTTCGCGCCACAACGGCGTGCACTTTTCGACATCTCAACTTCCAAAAGTGCTCCGAACGTGAGGTGTTGTTTTGTGCATTTTGACTTAGAAATGTGCTTTGCGCCAGAACGGCGTGCACTTTTCGACATCGTGCTCCGAACGTGAGGTGTTGTTTTGTACATTTTGACTTAGAAATGTGCTTCGCGCCACAACGGCGTGCAATTTTTCATCTCTCATTTGGCCAGCTGGCTCCGCACCCGCTGCTTTAGCGAGCCTACTTTTCGACCTTCCGGAGCCACAAATCATTGGAAAAACACAGTGTTTTGCGACTTTCCTACGTTTTCGCGCGCCTGGATCTTCTTTCTTCTGAGGCTTTCTCTTTTTTGATCCTCTTTCTTCTCTCTTCTCTTCTCTGACTCTTCCCGTCTCTGCTTTTCATCTGTCCATATTGTCGGAAGCTTGACTTCTAAACTTCCTTCGACAACTACAACTACAAACTACACCAAACCACACCACACCACACTACATTCAGCAGTTGTGGGTGAGGTGACCACTGCAATAAAGCACAACTCCAACCACCTTTCGGTCCATCAGTGGATTCGCTCTGCCATCCATGCATCACAACAACTCACCTCCCCTATAGTTGTCTATCTTTGAAACTTCCGCCACCGCCTTGTGTGGTACTACTGGTATACACTCTCTTTATACATACATAATACACGTACATGCATTTGTTACTTGCGCTCTGAATGCTTCAAGGCACGAGTGATCCTTGGCGCAAGGTGCACAAAGTGTTGACGGGGTTTTCCTCAAGCCATGGATCAGGTGTGTAGCCTCCTCAGAACAACTTTCGCGATGCTTTGCCGAACTTGCTCACCACTCTTACATTCTGTAACTTGGTTCTGTGATTTCAAAACTGGTTTTAGCCTCGCATGGAAATGCAACTGAGGCACGGCTTTTCGTTTTGAGTGCCTGAGAAAGGACAGACCTACTTTCGGCTAGGGGAATTAGATGTTTGATGATGCCGAGAACATTGACATACACATACAATAATTACAATCGAATACATTGCGTGACATACAGACATTCATACATCGGCTAAGCTTGAGATCTCAAGCACTTATGCCATGAGACGGTGACAGAGCCGTAGGTTTGCAACCGTTGCTCCTAGGGTGAATTCTGCTGGCGGAATTCCTTCAGAAAAAATGATCACGCAATCATTTTAGCTTCAAGTCAGCAATCAATAAAATCGAGAATCCAACGCAAAATGATGCAGAAGAAAAAGAAACACAAGAAACGATAAGAACGTGAAATTCGTTTCCTGCTCTGAGGTATTCCGAGATCCAACACCTTCACGAGTTCTGCGAGGCTCCTGGGAGGAAAAAAGCACAGCCACCTCGCGGGCGAGTGCTCCAGCAGGTGCAAGAGCCGCAAGAGCTGCAAGAGCTTCACTGTCCACTTCGAACGCGTCCTGCGCAACCTGAAATTGAGTCGTGAACTGCTACGGCCATTGGGCGTCGATTTTCTGTCGATTTCTATCCTTTTCATTCCTTTTCTCCCTACGTATCCTTATCCACGAGTATGAGTCACTATATCTTTTTGCTACATACCCCGAACTGCACTAATAAACGCTTCTTTGCAGGTGCAAGCGTTGGCTGACAACCTGGCCTCAACCTCTGCTCCTGGTGACTGACACAGGGCTAGCTCCATGCAGAACGCCCGGAAGAGCAATCGACGTCCAACGCACTTTGGATTTTTGGATGTAGTTTATGTAGGTTGGATATATATGAATATATAACATCATGGATATGATTGAATTAAATGCAAGGGGCCGACAAGGCTGCGGACGGCTTTGTTTGGATTGCAAAAGTTCTTCGTTCAAAGAATAAATGGACCCAAAACCTTCTCCAGACTTTGAGCAGCAAAGCTTGAAGTGTTTGAAGTCAGTGCCCAGGAAGGGGGGAAAATTGCCGACCATCGCCTCGCCTGAAGATACACCCGAGGTCCTTGTCAGGCCTCAAATGAAGTGCTGACATGCCAAAGCCTCTGGTGCACTTAGAATGTTCTGTCAGTCCATCCGGGGCATCGTGATCTTGGATCTTGGGCCTGCATGAGCAATGACCTTGAAGGATGCAAAGGTTGCCTGACAAAATCATGCAGCGTCGTTTCAAGAAAATTGGAATCCTCGCGCGTCATAGCTGGAAGTGTGGCAACCGTGGTGTTGAAAGTAAAGCGAGCGCGCTTTTTCATTCGCTTCTGATGCATTTGGGCTACTTGGTCCGCTGAGCCGAAACTCCAAGGAGCAAAGGCCTGCGAATTTGCCTAGGTGTGGTGTGCAAGATGCCATGTGCAGTTTCAAGACTCGAAATTTGTAGCCTTTACATCATGTATTTACATCCTGGAAAACAACCTTAAAGAAGCAAAGCCCGTGAGTCTCGAGACTGCTGAGCCTGCCTCCATGGCACCCTGAAGAAAACACAAAAAACTAGAGTAAGCGGTCTCGGAGCCCATGCAAACATGACAGCATTCAGTACTATGTTGAACGGGCATGAGCTCCTGCCTTGCCAGTTACAGCAGCTACAGCTGTACAAGTGGCAGTGTCCTCACAGTCAGGACTTGACATCCTAGAATTATGTTTGAAAGCTGAGGCATTTTCAGCAACCCCCTGGTCAGTCATCAATAAAGATCAACGGAATTGTAGCCTGCTGAGTCTCCAAGTTCGCAAAAACACCGACATGTTTCTTGACTCGAGCTGGCTCGTCTTCTCTGCATTGCTTTGGCTCGAGCTGTGGCTCGAGCTGAGATGTGAGTTCCGTCGCACACTGGGCAGCGTCTTGCTCGGGAACCGATGGGACGTGCTCACCGGACTGCGGCTGCAGCTGAAGCGGCTGAAGTTCCGAGACTTTCGGTCGTTTGGCTTTTCTGCTTGTTGCCGGTGTGGGTGGTCGACGTCCTCGCCAGCTCGAAGTGTCAATTGAAAGTATGCAGCTTTTACTTTTACAGATGCATGCTATTATTGCATGCTCACATGATGTGTGCACCACACTTAGACTTAGACAACTGAACAGCAAGGAACGTGTGTCAACAAGCTCCATGCATGCTCTCTCCTCTTCCAACCTTTACTTGGCCCATACAGACCTGAGGCAGGCTATCTGATGCAAATTGCCCCTGTCATCATTGACTGGAAACCTCTTACAATGGCCCGGTACTTCTCCGCTCAAACGTGTTCGAAGAAGTTTGTAGTTTGTAGGTAGGACACCCAGCAAGCAAAGTGCGTATGGGTTGATTTCCAACACTTCATGCCGTGGTATGCATGTCATGGTTGTGCGCGCAGGGGTTCAGAATTTGCTGGAACGTGAAATATGTTGTGCAGTCTTGCATGGCTTTGCAATAGAGGTGCAGTAGTCGCATTGCTATAACTGACTGTGCGGGTGCGACTGTTTGTGGGGTGTGTGGGTCTGCGTCTGGCTTTGCCTCCGCGTCTGTGGCGACGCATTTTCAGCATACTTCTGTCTGACAGTGATTCCACAAACTAAATCTCACTTTCCTAGTGATTGTGGTCACAGTCACCAAGCATGTGCATCAAGTGCATGAACGCTTCACCGTTGCCTTGTTGGCCACACAGGCCAATTCGGCGGCATCAATGTGGCCAGTCCACCGTTTCGATTGAAGACCGAACTTGCCTTCAGAACCTTCAATTTGTCGAGGGCACACTCCAAAAAGGAACACAAACCCAAGAAAAATGAAACAAACGCATTGTAAAGTTCAGGAAACCTCCTTTCTGCCAGGATCCATGCTACAGGGTTTTGGACCCTACTGATGCGCAGCTTGCATACTATCTTTTCATCTTTTCATACTATTTAATTACGGCCTACCAATTGCCCAGGCATTCCTCTGTGAGAGAACTGGAGCACGTGGTGCCTTGAGCAGCCAGAAAATCTGCACGTTCGTTGCCAGCGCACCCGGAATGGCCCTTCACATGAGTGAGGTAAAGCGGCCGCTGTTCCTCGCAAGGCAACACTGCTGACCTTTATAGTGCTTAAGTCACATCAAATGTCTCATCGAGGCAGTTCTTGTTTCTCTGTTGTCGGTTAGAAATCGTTGGAGGCCTGCACTTCCGTGTAAAGGGCCTGCAAGTGCTTGGCAAGCTCAACGTTCCTTCAGGCAGGATATGTTCAACATTTCATGGCATGGGTTTGTTGCTTGTGCTATAGCACGTGGAACCACACTCTCAGATCACTATCATGATAGCAGCAGTTCCAGTTCTCTGCTGATTTTGCCAGGGAACTTGTGGGCTTTGTTGCGACTTAGCACAATGTTGGCGGCATACCTTAGCACAAGGAGCAAAAATTACAAGAAAAAATAAGCTTTGGTGGTATCCCCAACAGCCGCAACGGTTTTTTTTTACGAATCTTTCTGAAGCGTGCTGCGAAGCCAAGCGCTGGAAACAACGCCTCCCAGACCTTCGCCAGAACCTTCTCCGGAACCTTCTCCGGAACCTTCTCCGGAAACCTGTTGAACCTAACCTGGCTCTGCACCAAAGCCTCCCACACCTTCTCCGGAACCTTCTCCGGGACCGTGTTGAACCTGACCTGGCTCTGCACCAAAGCCTCCCAGACCTTCTCCGGAACTTTCTCCGGAACCTCATTGAACCTGACCCGGCGCCTGCACCAGTGCACACCGGAGCTCTTCTGGGCTGAAGACCCCATTAGCTTACACTGTTGGGGAAAAATGCAAAATGTAAATGTAAATGTATGTATGTATGCAAGGAATTCGGATTTGATGTGAAAGCAGGCGGGACGTTTGAAGAGCTCAGGAATTGCAAAGTCTATGTGTGAGGTCACCTGCACACTTTCTGTATGGATGCCATGGTTTGCAGCCCAGTAGCTCTGAGTCGTAATGCAGAACAGCTGGGGTTCCCTTGTCCGGTGCTTCATCTCTAAGCCACAGCAAAGCCTGCAAAGACCACGTGACGACGTGCGCAAAAATACTTCATTGCCCTAGGGCCCCTGGGAACAGAATGAATTTGGGAAAGTGCCATGTGCCTTATCAGAATCATACTGCTCTGTGTCTCAAGACCTGCAGTACCTACTGGGCTTTCCCCCTGGCACTGCTTCCTTGCAAGCGACATCTGCAAATCATCTGCCATTCACAGTGTGGCTGTCCACAGCACAATTTGTCTAAGTGAAATGATGCTGCATGCGGATGCAGGCTGGCAGTCGGCCAGAGGAAACAGGAACAGCAACACAATCAGCACGAGAGCCGCGAACAGCGACAAGAGAGAGGCAGTAGCACAACCACAGCAAACAATGACAACAAGAGTCATCATAAAGTCATCATAAAATCATCATAAAATCCATGAAACACTTTCTTCCATAAAGATTGTGGCGTGAGAAATGAGTAAGGAGCCTAGGTCGACCTTTCGGCATCTTTTGACCAAGAGATCCAACCCGTGCCTCGCCCATAGCAGACAATTCCCCTGTATTGTTGGAGCCGCAAGTTGCACCCAAGCTCAGCCTGACGTGCACTTGCGAACACCACTGAAACATACTGAAACAACTGCACGAAGTGCACGACAAAGCTGTGGCATCTGTGCCATTGCTAAACGAGGCACGGAGAAGTGTCATCGGTGATGACCGGCCCGTAGAGTTCAGCAAAAGTAGTGAGCCTCTGTCTGCTGGTGCCAATATAAAGGAAAAGGCTAAAAACGGCTAAGGCTTACTAAGGTATGACAAGTGAAGCCTCCTGTGCTTTCTCGGTATTTTTTCTGCCCGGATTGTGCCTCTCACTGGATTGATACACTGCAACACCCCAACCTGCTGCAGGCAAGTGCCAAGGGATACAAATATTGAAGCTTGAAGTTGAAGTGTTTTGAAGCGTCGCTTCTCTAACGCCCTTCAGTTGCTGTAGGACATGTTGAGGATATGTTGTGTTTTGTGGCACCAGGCCTGCTGCTGTTGGCATCTTGCCCGCCTGCTTATTGGCCGGACAAGAGCCATCCACGAAGAGGTGCCAAGCACAGCCATCTGAAGGCAGGGCATTGTGGCTTCAAACCGCTTCACGTCTCATGGTCGCCATTAACATACATTAACCATATCATTAACCATATCATTAACATTCATGCTATAACATGATATAACATGATATAACCATGGCTTGTTTTTTTGACAGCTAATTAAAGCTCATTCACCTGTTGGGGAAGTGGAGCATGTTTTCGCTCATGCATCTTGAGAGGTGAGGCAATTCCACCGAAACTCTCCATTGCACGTGCCCAATGGGGCCCACCTGGCAGCTGCTCTGGAACATCTACTGCTTCTCCTAGCAGTTCCTGCGTGGAACAGTTTCCAGGTTGCATCTGGTTGTGCGATGCGTTGCAACATATCCTGGGTCACCAAATTCTGGCCTTGAGTGCCCGTTCTATTGCTGGAGCCTCGCCACCTTGCACTAGCACCTTGGCTCACAGGTGACTTTGTTTCGAAGGGCCACGCAACATAAATATACATAAGTCATGTCAAAGATTGCAGAAAAATGGGAAACTCGATGACTCGATGCATCCTCAGTCAAGTCAAGTTCATCCTCAACTCATGTCAACTCTCCAAACCACTCCTGGCACTGTTCCACGCGTCGCCCAAACATTCACGAAGGCTTTGAACTTGACCTGAGCTCCACGAACAACCATCTGCTTGCTTCCATTCATGGCTTGCACACACATAGGATCACACAATATCACACATATGCAAACGAACGCACTCAAATGCATTGAGTGCACACTAAGCTCGAATCATTCGAATCACTACCGCACTACTGCCCTCATTTCCCTGCAAGCGAGAAGCGCATTTGTGCTGATGCAACGCTCTTGGCAGCCTGCTCCAGGATGGGGCTTCGCCAAGGGATTTCAAGGCCTGCACATCTCTTGGTGTCACCTTTTTCAGCAATCTTCCTGGCTGTTTTTATGGAATGTTCTTGTACATGTAAGGCGGTTGTTGAAATCAATTCAGGTCAATCATTGGAAGTGTCGGGAGACGAGTACGCATGACATGCCATGACAATCCAAGACATACCTGCTGCTAGTATCTGCTAGTGCATTCGAAAATGAATGGAAGGACATGGGCCATAGGCCATCGGAGGACATCCAGAAATTCAGGATGCTTTTGTGTTCTTTCCATGCCAATATCCCAGCCTCCTCTACTTGCTCCACACTATATGGCTGTGCCAAACGACCCATCTCTCCAGAGGCAGGATGCACTTCGAAATGAAATCACTGATTCGTCTGATTCAATGTTTTAAGGCAAAAAGTCGTGCCTTTGTGATGACTGTTTCATTCGACTATTTTTGCCAATCCACTGCGCATTCCTGACATTCCTGGTGTCATAGTAAAAGAACGAAAAGATACGAAAAGCCACTGACGCTACTGACCAAACTTTCTAGGCCATGGGTGGCAATTTGAGGTCTCGAAGCTGCAGAGTAAGATAATAAAGCCGACAAATCTGGAAACTTGCTGGCTGTTGAGCGCATTATTACCTGCAGCATCAGCTTACCAATCTCCAAACAAGGATTTGAAGCATCTGTGCTAATTCTAGAAACTGTGTTCAATAAATTTAGCGGTTGTGACCATGAGAGAACCACCAACTGCAGCCATTTGAGGAGTCCGCTAGCAGAACCAGCAGCCACCTTTTTCGTCTGGCCTGACTGGCCTGACTGGCCTGACAAGAGGATAAGACATAGCAATACCTTTGACAAAACCCTTGCAGGCTCAACAGATCTTAGGAGCCATTACTGTAATGCGTCATCTGCAAGCAACATCGCCATCCATTGCCTTTGAAGCACGCATGCCTTGTTTGGCCTAGGGAAAATCGGAAATCAAAATGGGACCCATGAGATTGCTTTTTGCTCTGAATTTGGATCACTTTCCCTTGAGGAAAAACTAAGCAATGCACAGGGAACAAACTCAAGCCGTAAAGCTGAGCATTGGAACGCTTAGGTGTTGGAAAGCAATCCACAAAGGGAAAACATGTCTATGGGTCTGCTGGGTATAGCTACCTAGGTACATATAAATATGGCCGTGGAAGAGCGCAGGCAGCAAAATCCTACCTACGGTCGCGCGATTCCTTTTCGCTCTGGAGATGTTTGAAATGTGCTACTGGCAGTTCAACAAATCAAGACTTCCAACATAAACGTTTGCAGAAATTGACTTTCCTGGACACGGGCTGCTGGGTGAAACCTAGGTAACCAGCTGAGAGCCAAAGCATCACATGCCATGCCACAAACATGTTGCGGTTGTGAGGTTGGTTGCCTCAGAGGGTGAGAAGGACATCAGCTGACAGCAGTTGACAGCAGAGAAGAAATGTACCTCATCCAAACCACTAAAGTCACTAAAGCTACACTGTGCCGGGGAAAGCATGAATCATCAGAAGCACTTTGCAGATCTTTTCAGCTGAAAGCTCGATGTGGTACCACACTTTCCACAGTCAACTCTTCTCACGAATGCTACGGGTTGTGTTGCACGCACTGCAGCGCGGTGAGCAAAAATTGAGTGCCATCCGGTACAGCAACATCCACCTTTGCGTGCTACATCTATGCATATAATAACATATATAATACATAGTGTGTGTGTGTGTGTGCGTACATACGTATATACATAATATATACATATGTGCATGTAGCTTGAAGGGTAAACTTGCCAGGCAACAACTATTTTTTTGGACTCCGTGTGATCAAATTTAAACAAACACTTCCTTCCATCCCACAAAACGGCATTTTCACTTGCAATCAGGTCTTCTGCTGCAGGTCGTGCTTCACAAGCTCCGGATTCTGCTAAGATCTACGAAGTATTGGTATTCAACGCCGCCACCTGCGACACTGGCAAGTCAGTCTCCACTTTGCCCTTGCTTCTTTGCCAAGCAAAGTGGATGTATAGTGAACCAATCATGCTGCGAGCATCTGCAAGTTTCCTTTGTCTCTCTCTCCGTCCCTCTGTGTCTTTGAAATTCTTTCAATCTGCCCCACACTGAGACCAATTGAGACCAAGGCAAGTAGCGCATCGCAGGGATCCGTGGCTAACTCGATTTGGCTGAATTGGCCTCTTGAACAGTGACGCAGGAAAGCAGGAAACTGGGCCAACTGGGCCAACTGGGCCAACTGGGCCAACTGGGCCAAGTGTCTCAGGAGCGCACCGTCGAAATGGAAAAACCGCCACAAGTCCTGCACCTTGGCGTAATCTCAGGCCATGGCTCAGTCCCTTTTCAAACCAAAGAACGGTGTAAATGTATATATATATATATATGGACGCACAAACACAGACATATATATATATATGTGATTATGATGATGCTGAGGACGATGATAATGAGATAGAAAAGATAGATAAGATAGATAAGATAGGATAGGATAGAGAATATAGGATATGGGATATAGGATATAGGATACGATAAGATTAGATAAGATTAGACAAGATTAGATTGGATGGGATGAGGGATGAGGGATGAGGGATGAGGGATGAGGGATGAGGGATGAGGGATGAGGGATGAGGGATGAGGGATGAGGGGTGGGATGGGATAGGATAGGATAGGAGGGTAGGGTAGGGTAGGGTAGGATAGATAAATAGGATAGATAGGATAGATAGGATAGATAGGATAGAGAGGATAGAGAGGATAGATAGGATAGAGAGGATAGAGAGGATAGAAAGGATAGAGAGGATAGAGAGATAGAGAGGATAGATAGGATAGATAGGATAGAGATAGAGATAGAGATAGAGATAGAGATACATAGAGATACATAGAGATACATAGAGATACATAGAGATACATAGAGATACATAGGGATACATAGAGATACATAGAGATACATAGAGATACATAGGGATACATAGAGATACATAGAGATACATAGAGATACATAGAGATAGAGATAGGGATCTAAGATAGATAGACATAGAGATCTAAGACAGATAGACATAGAGATAGATAGATCGATCGATCGATCGATAGATAGATAGACAGATAGATAGATAGATAGAGAGATATGTAGGATAGATAGGATAGATAGGATAGATAGGATAGATTAGATAGATTAGATAGATTAGATAGATTAGATAGATTACATAGATTACATAGATTACATAGATTAGATAGATTAGATAGATTAGATAGATTAGATAGATTAGATAGATTAGATAGATTAGATAGATTAGATAGATTAGATAGATTAGATAGATTAGATAGATTAGATAGATTAGATAGATTGGATAGAGTAGATAGAGTAGATAGATTAGATAGATAGATAGATTAGATAGATAGATAGATAGATAGATAGATAGATAGATAGATAGATAGATAGATAGATAGATAGATAGATAGAAAGATAGATAGATAGATGGATAGATAGATAGATAGATAGATAGAGATAGATAGAGATAGATAGATAGATAGATAGGTAGATAGGTAGATAGATAGATAGGGGTAGATAGATGGATAGATGGATAGATGGATAGATGGATAGATAGATGGATAGATAGACAGATAGAGATAGATAGAGATAGATAGAGATAGATAGAGAGAGATAGATAGATAGATAGATGGATAGATGGATAGATAGATAGATAGAGATAGATAGAGATAGATAGATAGATAGATAGGTAGATAGATAGATAGATAGATATGTGATTGATCAAGGTGTGCACAAGAGGCACAAATCGAGAAGTGTTATCACGGCATGAGCACTTGCCTTCATTTTGACTGATCGCCGCATCTCAAGACATCGATGTTGCATTCGCAGCAAAAGGCCCACTGCTTGCTTTTGCATTGCTTTGCTGATTACTGGTAGCGGAGCGTTTGAGGGCAGTTTTGGGTTTTAGGACCTAGGCTGCCTGCTGCATTCGATGCGGCGGTGGCGACTCCAGTCCCTGAGGACGAGTGGGTGACCACAGGACAAGACCCTTGGATGCCTCAGAACCAACAAGGTGGGCTAGGCGATGTGGGGAGTGGAGCACAGTTAAATGGGAATACTGTGCCCCCAACCTCAACAGAGCACCCCACCCAGCATGCGTCAACTGGGGCAAATAGAATGGGATCTATTCCAACAGTTTTGGGTCCACAGGGTGTAGCTGGAATGAATGGAGGGGCGCACCCCACCATGCAGCCACAGATGCCAGAACAAATGCACATGCCATCATCGCCACATGGATGTTTGGGTCATGGGGTTCCAGGGTTTCAACCACCGAATGTCAATGGGATGTATCCACCTTTTTCATCGACTATGGCAGCACATGCGATACCACATGTACATCCTTGTCCTCAACATTGGCATTCACAAGTACCCCATGGAGTTCCTCCCCAAGTATATCCACATGGACATACAGCTATGCCATGGGCAATGACCTCACCATGGCCCTGGCCTACAATGAACCCATTTTTACAGATGCCACAGATGCCCCACATGCCGACTCATGTCCCACCAACTGCACAACCGACAGCAGCCGATGTGCCAGGTACTTCAGCGAGCTTCGGATCATGGTCGAAGCCAGCGACTCCTCAGAAGGAGAAGCCTCCTAGTTCGCCTGGTGGAGATCCGCCGGAGCCAGGAGATGATGATGCTGATCTTCCAGAAGAGGTCGCCTCTGGTTCCTGCACTTCAGAGTTGCGGTCCATGTTGAACAAAAGGGTCAAGAAAGATCAGGAATGGACTAGGCCTAAGAGCAGTTTGGGATCAGTCCGCATAGAGGAGTATTGGGGAGATAGGTCAAGGTATCAAAAATGGAAACGGGCCATAGAGGCTCAGTAGCACTTGTATGGCCTGGAAGGAAGAGAGCTGAGTATGCTGGTGTATCTCAGCACAAGAAAGGAAGCAAGGGATGTGGTAGAACAACACCCCATCGCAGCTTACACCGGAGAAGGTGGCTTACAGCTGCTGTGGAAAGTCCTCGACGAGGCCTTCGGAGAAAGTGAGGCTGAACTGTTCGAACGGGCAGACAGAGAGTTGGAGCGATACCGAAGGCTGCCTGGGGAGACAATGGCGCACTTCTTGGCAGAGATGAGGAGACTCAGGGCTCAGTATTATAGGACTGACCCTGACACAAGAATCTCTGACAAAGCATGGGCGCAGAAGCTGCTTCAGAAAGCATCCTTGTCGAGGAGGGAACGATGCGACTGTTACTATGCGGCAGGGGCATGTTACAACTCAGTCGGCATCGAGAAGGCCCTCCGGGTGAGATGCGGCAGGGTACACGAA